CTCTCCACTGTCCATTGTACATGTGAGCATTTGTCACCATTTCTCATGAATTCTCTCATTGTTAGGAGGGGCTAGACCAGCACAATAGGCCCTTTGACGTACGGGGCCCCATTGTCGTCCCTTTTCAACAAATGTGCTCCAGGCCGACCTGGGGCTCATTGCCGACACATGGTCTCCCGCTAGTGACTGCGGTCACTGACCAGCAACGCGGGTCCTTCATTGTTTCAGGTGTCCCGACGAATGTAGGCTGCCTTCTGATTGACATTTAGAGATCTTGGCCTTGTTCCTGCTCGGGAAATAACCCCTATGCCCCAGAATGGCACGGAAGAGCCTGTACGATATTGCTGTTCTGAGTAGGCTGCCTCAAATAGAGACACAGTGGCACGGAGCCTCCGATCAGTGTTGGATCTGCTCTGACATTTCAGGGTCCGGCCTTTGGGATGTGATCCATCCATGCGATCTCTGGCCTGCCCTTCGGACCCTTCAATCAGGCCATTGATCTTTAGCCCCAAGGGACCAAAGTAGGACACTCGGAATCCATGGGAACCTCGGAGTCTAAGAGGTAGGGAGGGAGGGAGTCGTGTTTAATTTGGTTTCCCGCGAAAATAAAGCTTTGGGGCCCATGTGACGGGCCCCTGGAATTTTACATCGCCTTAAAATAAATGTTTCGTCTGTTTGTAGTGTTCTGATTGAAATAGGTTCACTCAAGAAATGTTATGATGCCCCGGAAACAAGGTTCAGCATGCCTTTTCATCCAAGGTTCCGAACCAGGATTTTGTCAGAGTGTAAGGCAAGGAAATTGTGATGACCCTATGCTGTGGTGCCGCTTGGAAGGGGAGTTTCGGACCTTCTTCAATGGTTCTTTCAATCGCCCGCTTGCATTTGGTGCCGCAAGGAAAAAAATGGAGTGGTGGTCCGAAAGAAACGTGTTCCTTGGCCGAATGAACCGATGCAGGATTGCGTTAACGGCGAGGCACGGGCATTGTGATGACTCCTGGATAAAACTGCGCGTCTGTGAAGCCAGAGATACGGGGTTCTATTCCTCGTGGTGCCCACCCTTCCTACCAGGGTGAGAGGCAAGCGACGCCATATAGCCTCAGCGGCTAAGTTCTCCGTAAAGCCCCAATGACAACGAAGGCTCTCGGCGCCTATTTCCCTGAACAGGGGACTCCTTCCCTGAACGGTCCGATTCATAATTTTTGCAAAGTAAAAAGCACACCGATCGTAATGCCGCTGGATTTTAGTACCCTCTAAAATTATGATTTTGGTCTTTGTTGATGGCTCGTTTTGATTTAGTACCCCTTGAAAATCAAGCTGATACTGCCCCACAAGAAAGGTTTTTGTGCCTCCTTGCCCCAGGGTCCGATCCAGGATTCTTTCAGCGCGGAATATCAACAAAGTTGTGCCCCTGGAATTCATGGCTCTTCCAGAATAAAGGACATGGCCCTTTCTAGAACTCTCTGGAATTGGGTGCTTCTTGAAAATAAAGACTCTGTGTTGCTCCGAAATGAAGGATTTGGCACTCCCTCGCCGAATGGGCCGACACAGCGTTTCGTCAAGGGCACGGCACGAGCGTCGTGGTGCCCCTGCAATTTCGTGTCTCATAGAAATACAGGTTATGTGGTGCCGTAATGATGGTATTGCTGCCCCTTTAAAATGAGATCTGGTAACCCTTTGGGGCATTAACATATCATGGGGCCCATAGGGGAAGGAAATGACCTTTTGGCCCTTCCCCTCCTGACCTGCCCTCGCTTTGTGATTCCTCAGGAACTATGTGCCTCTGGAAAATAAAAGCTATGATGCGTGGTAATTAATTTTTTTGGTGCTCGTTCGTGGAAGTGACAGATCCAGAATTTTGCAAAGGTGAAAGGTATAGATATTGTGGTGTCCATGGATTTTGGACGCTGATTAAAACCAAGTTTTAGGAAATGTTAATCATCCACTTAGATAAGGGGCCTCTTTAAAAAAGGTTATGATGCCAAAAAACGAAAGTTATGGTGTTCCAAACTGACCATTTTGGTGTCCTCTAGCCCAAAGGGCTAATCAAGGATTTCGTCAACACACAACATTGCTGCATCCATGAAATTTGGTGCCGTTAGAGAATGAAGGTTCTTGGCCGGTTATGGTGTCAACGGGTTTCGGTGCCTACCGAAAATAAATGTTTGTAGTCACTTGTGGTGCCCGTGAAATTCTGGAGTCTGTTGAAAATAAAGGCTTTGTGGACCTGAAATAAGGATTTCGTCGGCCCCTCACCATGACATTTGGGTGCCACCTGGCCCTAAGGGACGGGGAGCAAAGTTCCATTCACCCCCACCTCGCACCCCATACCACTCTGGATCCGCCATTCGTCAAAGTTGGTTGACAAGATACGCCTCATCGCCTCAAAGCGTAACTCGTCGTTCCTTTCCTAATTTGCCACTCAGCTCCATGCGTAAGCTCCATTTATGTCAGTTTGGCGTGGGTATGATTAAATACCGTGCTATATTTCTGACTGTAAAACCCAATTCTTAGTTCCGAAAAGCGTCGTTTTTACTGGCGCCTCTTTCGCACGAGACATGTGTGTACTGGGCCATGCTGCCTCTAAACTGTTCCCACCCAGGCTCTAAACGCATGTTTCCTTCAAATAAACAAGTGCCCAGCAGCGGCTCAGGTACGCACGCTGTGCTGCTACATGAGGCCCGCTGCTAAACGCCTATTGCATACTCCATCGCGCCTCCCGTTTCAAGAACATTTGCAGTATGCAGCGCTCAATGTCATCTCTACTACCCTTGCCTTGAGCACACGCTGTGCGTACCTTCATTACCAAAGGCTTAGCAAAACAATGAAGCGAACTGTGCATATTAAACAGTTTTGTCAGCACATCTATTATATACATACATATATATATATATATATATATATATATATATATATATATATATATATATATATACACTACAGTATGCGACACTACACTACGCGAGAAGCCTGGTTCACTGCAGTCTGACTTACGCGGTTACGGCCACATTGGTTGCAGCGGCCGATCAGCTGATCATTCGCGATATTTTCATTCGTGCCAAGCCGCCTGTCGTCAAGCGCGTGAGGTTCGGCGCATGAATGAAAATGTTCTAATGACATTCATAATTGGTCGGGCTGGGACTTTTCCCAATTTGACTTTCTCAAGCGCCGTAGTCGTCGAGCACCGGACGCCAAACAGATCATGACTTGCCGCGTCAGCGTTACTTTTCGGAGGCTGGCTAAGTGCGAGATGAAACAAGAAGCCAGCAAATTTGGTAGGAAGCAAACATTCTCGCCTCACATGGTTGTATTTATCGACTTATTAATGATCACCTTTTCACGAAACATCATTGCCGATTCCAAATGCAGCAATAACATAATGTGTAGGTCAGCGAGAGTAGGTACTTACATATACGTACGTACGACAAAATACATGCAGAAGGGATATCACCACCAACCACATATTTGCAAGCCTCACATGATATCAACTGACACATTCGCGCTCTACTTCTTGGTTGCATGTGTCTCCCGAGATAAAACACGGTTTGCAACACGATAAGATGCCGTGCCTCTGTTATCTTAACCGAGACATGCATCAGAGAAAACCTGCCTCCGCCTCAAATGGTGGAGAAATCAAATTAAAGGGCAGAACCTGCCGCCATTACGCACCAGGGATGTCACTTGATGTCACGTGTCATGTCAGGTGCCAGAGATCAAAGCTTTGGATTATTTAATGTGCCTGCTGCCAAGGGCGTGCTGACGCGGCAAAGTTTGCGTGCTCAAACGAAACGCTGTCCATATCCATGCACAGTAGTTTTACTGGGCAGTGCTGTACAGTATGACGTCACTCGTCGGCTGAGACGAGCAAATTCGGCTACGGTAGCCCTCTATCGGGCAATATCCGAGCCATTACGTAAAGGGTTGCGCGGAAGTGGGACAGCTCCTAATCCCTGGATCTCAGGAACGCTGGACTTTACAAACGCTGGACGTTTTGAGCCCTGGATGCTGCGGTTCGGGACGCTGCGCGCCTGGACTTTCTGATTCTCCTTTATCCAGGGACTTTAGGTGGTTTCTGGATGTTGTAACCCCTGCATGCTGCGATTCTGGACGTTTTGACCGATGGACGTTATGAACATTAGACGTTTAAATACGGATCCGCATATCCACTAACGCCCCTGACTCCCGTGACACCATGCCCACGGGCACACAACGGCTGTGGCAAGTCACTTATGGCGTACAGCTGGTATCATCATCCACCTTGCTTTCCAAAGTCGAATGTGCAGATGTCAGGCAGGTTCATGCTACCAATTGCTGTTGTCCGGATGTCTGTTGCCTTCTGTGCGTTGTTTGGCATTTCAGACGCTTCAATAAAACGTCCTGACAACCGGTGACAGCATCATGTTGGCACAATTACGTCTCCTACTTATGACCACTGCTGCGACGTTTCTGAATCTACGAACTCCGGGTGCAGTGAACTCCGTTCCTTCCTGCAGTTTTCCGGGGACAGTGAACTTTGTTTCCAGCTGAACCCAATAAATATTATCACCACAACGTTTGCGAGCTATCCTTTGTTTTACCTCTGTGTATCTTTAATATTCCTCTTTGAAAATGAAGGCATGACACATGTTTTGAGCAGCTGGCTTGTCGAGTGATCGGGGCAGTGTGTGGAGCCGGGCCAGCAATATCACCCCCAGCAACAAACATGACCCAGCGGGCTTGTCCTAATTTTGGGAATTCGTCTCAAGGCATAGGCCAGGGATATTCCTCGAAATATGGATAAAAACACCACCCGGTTTTTCCTGTTGTCCTCATCAGTGTATCCTACTGAACACCCCGAACCGATGTCACAGCGCGCCGCGTGCCAGGCGGTCGCAGTGCGATGCCACAAATCCTGGACTCGCGGGACGACGGTGTATCCCCGCACCGGTTTGACCAGTGCCACCTGCCGGCTGGCGAGGTAACGACGAAGCGACGGCGGCGCTGCCAGGCAACTGAATGGCCTCCCGTCGTCGAAGCAGGGCAGCGATGACACCTGTCTGGCTGCTTCTTCTGTGTGGCGTGGTGGCAGCCGAGCGGTAAGTGGGCCCTTTATGTCTCTCTTTCCCCCTCGGTGCCGACAATGGTGTGTTTGTAGGGGGGGGGGGGGGGGCGTTCTGTGATGGGTGCTCTTGCGCTGCGCTGCTACCGGGCCCCTGCTGGATGTTTGTGCGCCGCCGGCTGCTGCCGTCACGCCTCCTCACAAGAGCGAATTTATAACGAGGAGCCCATTGGTCAACACACGAGCCAGATGATATTAGTGCACGACTCGGCAAGTTGGGCTCCGGTACACCCGACATCAACACACACTCATGTGAGCCACAGAGCTAGGATGAAGCGGGTGACCGGTTCATTGGCGGAATGTTAGGTCCGGTCAGGCACCATGAACGGCTGGCTCCCCGTGCATGGCTGTGGGCCCTCAATCGCAGCATCCCACCTCCATCTTTTTTGCTTATGACAATATTCAAGCGGGGAAAAACGGAACAGAGTGCACTGGTGACACGCCCAACTGGCAAGGACCCAACGCAACTGGCAAGGACCCAACGCAACTGGCGAATTACCTTGGCAAGAGCCTGCTGGATAACAACCCCGGGAGCCCCTTCGGCCTTAACGTATCCATGCAGACTCCATGCATTCGGCGTCCCACCACGCTCACTCCATGCATACACATAGGCTGGCGCCCACGTCAGCCCGCTTATTGGTTCGTACACGGTCCCCCCCCCCCCCAGCCTTTATCCAGCGTCTTTGCACGATAATTGCCTCGTCTGCGTGAGTCCTCGTTAAACTAACATAAATTTGGGTATCACTTTCTAAGCATTGAATAAAGCTACGTTTAAGCCTTATCTAAATTTATCATGTTAACTTGTCAGTCAGTCCGACTTCATGGTTATGACACACTGCATTTAATTTGTCTTTGCTTGTTGTGGTTTATCGGATTTAAAGATATGTTGCAATGGTTTGTGAATGATTTGACCCTAGGTGGCAATTCAGACAGTTCCAATTTTTTTCGGTGGCAGAAAAGGCACTTTTTCACCTCTTGTCACCATGCCCACCGACGCCAGGCGGGACTGTCCTGTTGCCCCCCGACCGAATCACTTCAGCCTCGCTTTCACACTTAAGCATTTAAAACGCAGACCGCTAGCTGTATTTTTTTTTTAATCACCAGGACATAGACAAACCACGTGACACGTCACGCTACTCTCCTCCCTTCCTGCATGACGGGAGTGGGACCAAGACACATTGCCCGTCCGGCAGGGTCGCGTGGCCAGTGCCTCTCCCCCCTTAACTACACGGGAGGGAACAGGTGGCCGTGGCCCGCGCCCGCCCGGTAGGGAGGAGTCAAGTGATCTGGGAGCACCAGCCGCCCATGGCCCGGTAAGGATCGGGGCAATAGGCTGTGGACTGACACGTGCATGTTACTGCCGGTGTCCCGTCGTCCGCGAAGCCAGATGTCGCCGTCCGGCTGTCATCACCACTTCTCCGCGCTCCTTCCTCCTCGGGACTCGCTGGGAGATTCCAACCTCAAGCGTCTCCCTTGGACTCTCCCGAAAGATTCCCGCAACTTCCCCGGACTCGACCCTTTTGGTTGATGTAATTCACAATAATATGTCCCAAATGCAATCGTAATTATGTGGCCGAGCCGCTCTCAATTTAGGCCGATGAATCTTAGTTGAGATATGTTTGGAAACAGTTGACATTGCTCTCTTTCTGGCCGATCACTGGCGTGCCTGTGCTGGACAATTTTGAAATCGATACGTAATTCGTAGCGTGTACCTTGGCTTATACGTGCACCCCAAACCATTGGTTACACGCCTGCATCCTTTCCGGTCGCCACCATCTGACATCGGTTTATCAAAACGCCCCCAAAGTGGAGGGTGCGCGGTTGGAGCACGATGCATGACATGACAGTACATGACAGCTTGCGCGAGACATGCCAATGCGTTCGTCCGTCTTTTCCTGGGTCAGACTATTTGTCTCGTGTCGGTGTGACGCCTGGTCGAGTCGAATTGTGCACTTTGATTCCACACGTGTTCTGCAACTAAATCATAGTGAATTTACCACGCTGATAAAATGCTGCGAGGGGTTAATTTGTGCAGGCATCGGAATGATACAAGCAATGTTACCTGATCAAACAACTAGCAGCTGAATGCCTTGGGGATGCTACAGCACGCATTTCCAGTGATTGTGCCAATTATTGCTAACGGCTGTGATCAAGAGTTGCAAGGATTATGAGCTCATGAAAAGTTTAACTGGCTGGTCTTGGACGGTCCGCTTAAGCCATAAGAGCTCGATTTCGTTGACCCCAAGTCCCCGGCTCGCGGTCTGGTTTGTATTAATGTCGCTATTGTAACTGGAACCTGATCCATTAAACGGTGCCCAACAACTAGCAGGTCAGCACCAGCGCTCCACCACAGACCGGTCGGCGGTGGTGCAGGTGTTTGGTGCTTGCCCATCCCCAGTACTGATACCAACTGGACGGCCTCGGTGGGGACCGTCTTCTCCAGTCGGAGGGGGCGGCGGGGGGGGGAGGGCTCAACGAGCTTCCGAATATCCGATTACGACTATTGAGTCCAGCAAACGCGACCGCGGCGCTCGCGGGACTGCACGGTATTTCCCAGCGCCGCGCACGACATCTCGCCGACATGGGATTTTTGGTTAGATGTGTGTTTCATAGCGTGAAGAGCATACAGATTCCTGAAGTCATTCGCCAGCACACGAAGGACCAAAGCCGATCCTCAGGCCCGACATCACCAGGCGCGGCCGTTCGGTGTGCGAGAAAGACATCGGCAGATTCCCATGGATTCCTCCAAATGGATCTGACGAAAAATGGCGGCGGATTTTGGCTTAATCAGCATTCTTGTATGCGGTGCATACAGTTCTACTTGTACCATTTCCGCTTGGTTACAAACTGGGTGTTAGGCAGGGGGTGCCGGTGGCGTTTCCGGAGTTGGAAGAATCTGTGGGATAAATGCGTTAAACATCTAATTCAAACGATTTGTGGGGTGCTCAGGTGCCCTAAAGCTCATACTGCACCCAAAGCCGAGCGTAGTGTGTGCACCTCAAATCCACCCACGCAGAGTGACTCGATTCGGCGGATATTGTAACGTCATGCGCAAGGGCGGAGTCACCAATTTTTGGTAGGAGAAACGAGATCGTAAAAACATCTCTGGAATAAACATCGAGTTAGAAATATTACGCTTTATAACTGGCGTTCTCGTAAATAAGAATTTCCTTAAAAACTCCTCATGTGTATTGCGCTGTACCGCCGTGAGACATGGGGGTGCGTGGGGCCGGAATAGAGGCGTGGTTCGAAGCGCACAAATTTCTGAAAATTTAGCTTTGGCCCCGCGGTCATTGACTGGAAATAAATGATCGGAGCGGCGATCATCCTCCCAACATGGAGGGAAGTCCGTTCCCTCATGTTGGCGACAAAAGTTAATGCCAGCTTCGTGGCGTCTTCTCAGCGCCGAACGTATTAATAATTGGGCCCATTGGCCATATCATGTATAATTGTACAAACATGTGTACAGTGGCAAAAGTTTTGCTGGGTGACAACTTACTCTACAACTACAAAATTAAGCGACCTGAGGACAAATCAAGGGACCTCGAATTGTGACACCAGTGAGTTTACATACATGACAATCCGCCCTGCGAGTTGGATGTGTTTAGCTCTCTTAGTTTTGGGGTTCTCGGGGGTAAAGTTGACCCTCACCTGAGCGAAGGGTATTCAATCGGCTATCCGGGTGTGTGTTAAGTGTTAAGAGCACAGCCTCTCCCCGCCATCACGGTGGCAGTGGCGTACGATATTTCGACGAGGGACATCGAGGATGGTTACTTGATCAAATGATCCTGTTGGGGGGAGGGGGGTTTGGTGGGGACTCGACACATTCTGACTCAGGTACACCCGACATCAACACGCACGCGTGAGCTACAGCGCTAAGATGACGCGAATGACCAGAGCATTGGCGGAACGGTTGGCGCGGTCAGACCCCATGAACGGCTGTCTCCCCGTGCATGGCTGTCCGCCGTTAACCACGGTATCCCACTTAGACTTTATGTTTTCGACGCCCCACCACATTCACTCTAAGCATACACATACATTGGCGCCCCGTCAGCCCGTTTGTTCTTGGCTCGCGCACGGGCAGGAGCCCCCCTCCCCCCCCGCCCTCCTTGCCCTCTCCTTTCCAGCACCTTGTTGCCATTGTAATTGCCACGTCCGCGCTAGTCCTTGTCGAACTAAATTACATTTCATTTCAGGTATTTCGGCCGTCCGGTGAAGCCAAATTCATGCCCTATTTAAAACACCCCAAATCAATATTATTATCAGCCTGGCACCGATAAAAATATTGACTGCGATACCGATGCGACAACTGGGCCGGCCTGAGGTTTCCCACAACTGAACGATAACTCGTCTCCTTGCCAGTCTCCAGTGTGACGGATCCCTATTTGGACGACGCTCCCTCGTGTCCTGTGCACGGTGGGGTGGCCCACCACTCCTTTGGTCACGCCCACGAAGACGTCGCCTCCGGCGCTTCTGCGCCCTCGCCTCCCACCTACCGGAATAAGCTTTACAAAGCACCGCCCCGCGGCGCGTCCCTCAGAGGCCTGGAGGCAGACAGCGCACCTGATGGGACGGTTGAGTCCATTGGCAGACAGCTAGCCCCCGGCATGACCTGGGTTTACGCGTTTCAGTCCCCGTGGCCGGCGCGCTCTGGAGACTGGGCTTGACCGGCCTGTCGGACGACTTAGTCCCTTGTTGCCCTTACTTATGACATCGATGACGGGACCTCTATCCATGACGAACATCCCGCCAACAAGGTCCTTAAGACCTGGCATACACCACATAAGGAGACAAATGGTAGTGTCTCGATCTCTCCCGAGGCGTTGCACACCAACGGATAGATCCAGTTGCCGCCGGGCGTAACCCTGCATTCCGAACGGTCCGAACTGGTCTTGGCCATGTTATATGACCAGCGTCTCCCCATGTTGTCACGCCTGAGGTCGAGTGAGCGGTAAATGAGCAAATCGACCGTCTCCTAGTCCAAGAAGAGCGTATCATGCCTTCGAGTCACGCTACCATCAAACATTCATTTGCATAAGAGAGGGACTGCAATCGTTTGGCTCCTCCTGAATCGTGACCAAAGCCGAGCCGCATCTTTCGGGCGTGCCCGCCGTATATCTCCCTCAGCTACTATTACCATTTCCGTGTGGCTCGGTTCTCGTTCAAAGGGAAACCGGATGCGAATCGGCGAGGAGAAGGGAAGCCGGATACGAGTCGGCGAGGACAAGGCTGTCAGTCTGGTTGAAGCTTTACGAGCTGGCTCTAGACTTAAAAAGAGAGAAATAAAGACCATGCGTAAGCACATCCCGTTCACGTGCGCTGGACGAGATTCAGTTGAGAGTTCTGCCGTTCATATAGCCCTTTGCCTGCAGCAGTAAGATGCCCCTGGTGTTCTACTCAAGGAGCCGTTTGTCCGGCGGAAGGGAATGGGGGGTGCCATTATTGTTGATTTGAATGGGCCGAAATGTGTTAAAAAAATGAGCATGGTTTTAAACTTTGGAAACCCCATGTTTGCCTAAGACTGTTCATTCTTTTCCAGAATCCATAAGTGAAACAAACCACATGAAAAAGTTTCAATGTTGGCGCCCCAGTATATGGGCAATGTTGGGAGCACGAACAGAGATGACGTGGTCTCTAAAGTCGAACAGCGTTGGCCACCGCAAGCAACACCAGGAAGCGGGACCGCGTGAATCTGTCCTTTGGACAGATAAACAGTCATAACAGCACGAAAAGCAAAGCTCCTACATTTACTCTTTCATTTACACCACCACATTCCAACACCATTTCGCGGTGTCGTAATGACCAATCCGTTCTTATCATCAATCTCAAAATCGCACAGGTTAACTTTATGCCCAGACTACCTTCTACATCTAAGATTTGAAATCCTGAATCGTTCAAAGGTACTTTTCTCAGAAGCGTCATTATTTTTGTCCACCCGTTAGCCACAGCTCAACATTAATCGTTAGACCAACGCTGCGCGACCTAAGGAGACTGTAACGCCTCGCGTCAAGGTTTTTGTTGGTAAGATCTGCTTGCGCTTGTTTAAAACTACGTTACACAATTTGTATGAGTTATCTATAAAGTGTGGAAATGTATTTCTTTCAAAAGAGTCATCGTTTTCGTTCACCTGTTGACCACGACTCAATATTAGGTACTGTACCGACGCGGCACGGCCCATGGAGACTGCAACGCCTGGCGTCCAGGCTTTTGCTGCAAATATTTGCGAGCGCGCGTGTTCAAAACTACGTTACATAATTTGTATCACTGATCGATTCTGACTAAATGTGAAAAATCTACAGACACACATGGTTTGGCCATGTGACTTCACATCACTGACCCACTTCGATCTGGAAGCCGCCTTCGCAGGCTCCTTAACACGCGCCCGGGCGGGGTTTAAATGGACCCCGCGAGGGTTTCTCCGGGATGGTGTCCGAACGGCGGGACATGGCCGCGCCAAATTTTGCAAAGCTGTAGAAATTTTAATAGCAGATCGTATGCTAACAACAAATAGATGTACCTTGCAAGTTCACTGATCCACGACAGGTCCAAGTCAGGCCATGGATTCAACAGAGTTAATTTCTTGGGAATTGTGAAATCTGGTGGAACAACCGAGTGTTTGACGGTGCCATGCATCTCTGAGATGCTTTCTTAGGCAACATAACAATTGAATGCCAAAATTTAATTGACCTAGGGTCGGGTATGAAGGTCAGACGAAGGTCAAAACCAGCCTGTTGTATACTCCAGGGCTTCCTTTATGATATAGTTTCTGGTGCTCATTTCGAATTTTTTGAAGGCAGGAACTGTATTAGACATCTACCATGGATTTCTTAGATGTCATGATAGGTCACTGATCTAAAATGGCCCAGGTCAATATTTCCCTTTTAGGAACATACTACCTAGCATAATATTTGTCGCTTATTCAATTGCAAAACTCAAAGCAGTCTTCTATTACATTGGTCACCATGACCTTTGAAAGGTCAAGCAAGTTCACATGATCTTCCAAATTTGCCCTAAGTGAACTTGCGTACAGGCCAACACAGTTTGTAAAGTTAGTGTCTCTAGACCTCCTAGTCCCTGAGATTTTAGCTGGGGGTTAAATTGCCCCCCCCCCCCCCTCACTCGAGCGAAGAGTATCCAACCGGCCACCCGGGCACGAGTTAATATGTCTGTGGAACCCAGATAAATTTTTGACAGAGCTGCATTTTATTGGCTTAGAAGACACTGAGCCACTGTAGATTAGAAGTGCCGGTGATGTATTCCATACAGCCGTCCATCGCCTGACTTAGGCAAGTTATTATTGGCTTCAAAATACAAACATAATTGACCTGGCGGTAGCTCCTGCTTCTTGTTTCCGCTCTGGTTCCAAGGTGAAAATGAAGATAAAAGGAAGATATCCGTATCCCTTGTTAATAAGCAAGCTATATCCCGCGATTTTATTGGGGAGGAAAGATAACCGTGCGGGACTTTGCCCCTCCCCCTTACGGTTATCCCTGTGCAGCCAACACACCAACGCTGCCCCCCTCCCCCCCTCTTGGGAAATATCTGGCTGGGTCCCTGCCTACATACAAAAGCAGATCAAACCGGCTACGTTGAATTAGGGACGATTGGACGTCGGTGGGACCAATTTATGCCTAAGGCAGGCAGCTTCGCGTAGGTTTTGGTTCTGCAGTAGTGTGGAGCAAGGGAAAGTAATTCGGGGAAAGTACTATTGCTGGTGTCCAATATATGTTTTAAACACGTATAAATAATAACGCTGAACCATAAGCATGCTGCAAAACAGCCATATGATCAGTTCGCAGGCAGTCCTGCGGCACAGCCGGGCCAAGGTAGCGGCTGCCGACGGCGGACGGGAGCAGGGCTCAGATAGGGAATACATGACAGGAGGAATGGCCTTCGTTCCGAGACTTAGTTTTTTACAGGAGAAGCACAAGTTGCATGATGTCTGTCATACCGTTTTTGACAGTTAGCATTTGAAGCTTCCGAATTTGTTTCTGCCTAAAGTGCTGCGAGAAATCGTGTCTGTTTAAAAAAGTCGGCGAAATTTAGGCGCATGAAAACTCTTGTGCTTTATGGGCTATCGATTCGAGTTCGAAATTTTGACCAGCCTGTGAGGCAGATACCTCCTCAATGACCGAAAATTCCGATTGCCGAACATTGCGGCACGTTAAACTTTCGCCCCTAAATTCTGGCCTTGCCTGGATTGCGCGACCAAATGTTGGGGTAAGGGCTCACACAACAAGCGCAGCTTATTGTGAGCTCTGATCCCAGAAATCCATCCATTCAAAAGAGCTCGGATCAAATCTTCAAGAAAGCCTACCCGTTCGTGGAATTTCGGCTGCCCAGGGAAAACAACGTTGAAATGAAAGAATAATCCCGGGAAGCTGGAAAGCCTTATTTGCCGAATGTCATACATGAGTCGAATAGACAAGTTTGTGCACCAGTGAGAAAAAGCTGTAGCTTTATATCTAGTATGGAAAATTTTACATTTAGGTATTCCCCAAATCTGTTATGTAAATCAACACGCGCCCGGGTGGCCGGCTAGATACTCTTCGCTCGAGTGGGGGAGGGGCAATTTGACCCGCTGAGATCTCGGAAACTAAGAGGGCTAGAGACACAAAATTAAGAGGGTGCGTTGACCTGTACGTGAGCTCACTTGAGTCAAAGTTTTAGCTTCCTAGGTCACGACCTTTGGGTCAAAAAGGTCAAACAAGTTCAAGTTTTAGGTTGGTCTCCAAAGTACCCCCAGAACGTAGATAACCGTTTCTAAGCAATAGCTCACATTCTCATTTAAAGTCAGTGACGTTGCATGACCTTTTGAAGGTCATGGTGACCAAAATGATACAATATTGCTTTGAGTTTTTGCATTTGACTAAGCAGCAAAGATTACGCTAGGCAGGATGTTCCTAAAACCAAATGTTGACCAAGGTCATTTTAGGTCACCGACCTATTCTGGCCTATAAGAGTCCCATAGAAGGTGTACAATGCGGTTACTGCTATCAATATACTCGAAATGAGCACCATGAACTATCCCAAGCAGTAAACCCTAGGGCAATAAAACAGGCTGGTTTTGATCTTGGTGTGACCCTCATACCTGACCTTAGGTCAATGTCATTTGCTCATTCAACTGTTGCGTTGCCTAAGAAAGCATCTCAGATGTGTATGGCTTCGTCTAACACGCCGTTGTTGGATCGGATTGAAGGATTCCCTAGAAATTGCCTTCGCTGAAACCATGACCTGATTTTGACCTGCCACAGGTCTGTGACCTTACAAGGTACGTCTAAATATGTATATAAAATGATCCGCTATGCAATTTTCTACAGCTATGCAGGATTTGTCTTGGTTACGCCCCGCTGTTCGGAAATCATTCTGGAAAAATCTTCGGAGGGCCACCCAAGCGCCTGTTAAGAGCAGGCAATAGCCCCCATCTCTATCCCCATCCCCCAGTCATCGGGCGTGCTTCCTAGAGAAGCTCCTGAAATATTCCCTATGTCTGCCTCTCACTTTTTGAAACATTCCCAAACCTCTACGTGTTTACAGCACATGTTTATGTAATTATGCGATAAAAAACATGCAGCTTGCATGATTGGTACCCTTAGAATGGTGTGACATTGCATATAGAATACCAGATGCAAAATATAACATAGAACACTACATAAAACATACTAACGCGAAAACGGGTCGAAGTGGTCAAATTTGCAGAGTCTCATGTAAATTACATGGATGGCAGCTCGATTAACATGAGCATGCGCTAACACGCATCAGCACTCCCGTTCAGGTCAAAAGAAGTCTGGCCAGCTGTTCCAGCTTTGACAGTAGCGTTGGTCCGCTGTTGCAGCCGGTACCTGTTCACAGCGCCCAATGTCTTCTTCGCCGGCACGCCTGAGCGGGTGTGTCTGACCCTGTTCGACGTGCCCGAGACCGGCAACCTGACGCTGACGTTCAGGAGAAGTGAGAGTAGCCCGACGTTCGCACAGCACACCCAGCAGGTGTCGGGCGTGGCGGGTGAGTACCGAGTCCGAGTGTGGCGGCCCAGGGACCTCGTGGCCACGTGCGAAGCTACCACTCACTATGTGGTCTGAGCTGGCGTTTGAATTGATCTCCGTTGTGGCCGACTCAAGCTTTTTGAAAATGTCTGCTTGATTACATGACATTTCTGGGTACACGGTGCATGCTCACAGGCTAACAATAAAACTGAAAATCAAGGCAGCTAACAAAAGCTTCTGTGCAGCTGTTGTCTTTGCGGCATCTGGCCTAATGTATATGTGTCGGGCACAACACCGAGCTGTATATTAATGCGTTTAGTAAATTTTCTGCCACCGTCTTAACGCTGGACAGCGATTGTAATCCTATACTGGCACTACTAAAGCATAATCATACACAGCACTAAACGTTATAACAGGGATTACAACCCATGGTAGCTGCTAAACTGTGATGTGAGGCCACCAATTCAAAGAGCTGATTGATCTCGTCGGACATTATGATTACCACGATGGGCGGCTGCTTTCAGTTTCAGGCATGCATCTGCACCCCCATGGTATCTACTAACGTTTAAAGTCAGTCATTGACCGGTTCGATAGTGCCGGCGTGTTGGCAATGAATGCCTCGCGTGCATATGCCTGTTTCTTATAACTGGGGACATGACACCACAGCAGTGTACGAGCCCGACCGGAGATCATCGGTCGCTGCTCGCTCTCTCGGCGAGTGGACAAAGTGCTTGACATCGTCACCACTGACCGATCTGAATGTACCCATCCGGTGACGGCGAGGCCAGCCACACCATCTGTCTCAATGAGCGCGCTTCCTGGCCACGCCACCCATCAGTCGGCTCAGCGTCTTGGAGCGAAACCGGCGGCTCCTCGCGATAGCATGGCTTCGTTAAGCCCCCATCCGCCCTACGGTGTTCAGATACACGTGCACCTCACAGGAGGAAAATAGGGAAACGCACAGCAAATATGTGACTAAAACAGTCGTTAATACGATGTCGTATTTCAGGTGGATCTAAACAGACCTGCTTTGCAATTCAGCTACCAAATCAGAGAATTTCTAGCGCCTGGATGGGTTTGGAAGTGACTTACCCATCCGCCGTGGACTACACCATATCAGGAAGTCTACGCGTCCGTATCTAGTAAGTCAAATGAAGTGTCTTTCCACTGAAATTTGCTGCGAGTTTTGCAAAAAAGTAAAGCGGAATTATGTGTAGATAAGTGAGAAGGAATCATGTCTTTCAAAGACATTTTGCTAAGAAGAGTTTTTGTGTAGATGCAGAACCCCCTTCGATATATGTGGTGAAGATATAGCACTTCGTATGAAAAGAAGTCCTGACAGTACAGCCGGGAGAGTTCACGGCTGGAGAACACCACAATGCTTGCAGCAATGCATAACGAGTCCACCTGTCAATAGGAAGTGATCAAGGGATAATCGTGTATCATGTGTATTTCATGTTCATTCTATGGTGTGACTGGTGGGTGGAAGGTGCAAACAGGTCTGCATGGTAGCCATACTCTGATGTCAAGTTACCCGGTTCACAAATGTGACGCATTCGCGCTAAAGCACCGGATTCAAATGATTATGTTAACACGCGCCGGGGTGGCCGGCTGAATGCCCTTCGTTCGGGTGGAGGTTAATTTGACCCTCCTGAAATATCAGAAAGAGAAGAGCTAAAAATATCAAATTCACTGGGTGAGTTGGCCAATACGTGCACTCATTTGTGTCAAAATTTGCATTCCTAGGTCTGGACCCACGGGTCAGATAAGTTCGAAACCCAGATTGGTATCCAAAGTACCATAAGACCGTCCATGCAACCACCGTGAACCTGGATACCTGTTTAAAAAAAACGGTCAATGGTATTCATTCAAGGTCAATGATCTTGCGTAACATTTTAAATGTCATGGTGGCTAAAATCACACAAAAGTGCTTTGATTTTTGCATTTCAATAAACGTCAAGGATTACGATAGTCATTCTGTTCCTAAGAAAGCGCTAACCTGCGTCAGTTTAGGTCAATAACCTACTCTGACTTTAAATAATGTCATGAAAGGTGGTAACGCGGCTCCTGTTACCTATAAATTCAAAATGAGAACCACAAACCATCCCATACAGCAAGGTCTGGGTAATAAAACAGCTTGGTTTCGTCCCAAGTCTGACTTCCATGGCTGACCTAATGTCCATGAAATTTGTTCACGCAATTGTTTTGTTGCCTAGGCAACTATCACAGAGATGCACGGCCTCGTCTAACACTTCGCTGTTCCATGACATGAAACGATGCCCAGCAGCTTGTCTTCGCTGAATCCATGGCCTGGCTTTGATCCACCTTAGGTCATTGACCTTACGAGGTACAGCTAAATTTTGAGTGTCAGACTACTTGCTGTTCAATTTTTTACAATCATGAAAAATTTGGTGCGGCTACCCCGCTCCGTTCGGGCGTAATTCCGGAAAACAACCTTCGAAGTGGCAAATTGGCATTCCAACCGAGCGTGTTAAATCATCCATCAAAAGGATACTTGCCCACAACACAACAACGAAAAAAAACTGAACGGCATCTTATCCAGTTAGGCTGGCAACCACTTCCATATTGGTAACAACACTTCAAACATTCACAGAATAGCGCCTCACACTATACAGTACTCTTACGATACAAGATACAAGCTCCATTATTTCAATACCGGCGAATGCCGCGCGTTTCAGTTTAAGCGACGTTCCTGAAGAGCATCACTTCCTTCAGACGGACAAGTACATATACAAGGCGGGCCAGCTGGTCCGCTTCCGCGTCTTCTCCGTCGACTCGAACCTGAGGCCGATTTCGGAGCCGGTAAGCTACACCGCAGGGTCGGGCGCCTCTGCACTGCGCCGAAGCCTCCCAGGTCCCGACCGGTGGTCCCGGCCGATGCAAATAGTGTGTTCCCACCTTGTTCCTGCTTAGGAAAAGGTCCCTCGGAGCTCAGACCGTCACGGAGCCGACTGTTCGGCGTTGGTGGTCTACGAACGAAGTAGGGACCCGCTTGTCCCAGGGTGTACCCGATCGGTGCAAGTTGGCTTTGGACTGACAGTTCATGGCCTGGTCCTGCCTTTATGCCTTTCAATCGGGCATTTGATCGTCGGTCCCGAGGGGCTCTTCGGCTCCTCTGCGGGGTCCTCGAGCGCTGTATCAGGCCCACTCTGGTGTTCCTTGGCAATACCGACCCTTGTTAGGTGCCTCCCCTGACCAAGCAGTGGCCGCTCATTGACTTAATGGCCGCAGACAATGTAAATCGCGACACTTGGCCCTGTCCCTGCTTGGGAAATGTGCCAACGTCCCAGATCTGACCTTAAAGTTCAATCTGGTGACGAATCTTGTCACGGTCGCTAAGACTTCACCATAGGAATGAAGTTAAGCAAAATAGGGTTGGTGAAGCCAAGTGGGGAAAAAACGAACACCAAATGCACTAAAAAGCAGGGTAGTTCCCGGATTTGACCCATTTCACTCTCAACGACGCTATGGAACTTGAGTCTCTTGTCCTTCCCCCTGCAGAAAAGGAAAGCCCAGCCCGATCTAATGCGTTTGCTTGCCCTGTCTCGGCAAAAGTTGCTGTTGTTGGAATCATAATTTTGTATGGTCCCGATCTTTGAAACCAGGTCTCGGTAATAGTTACAGAATTGATGGTATGCGGCTTAAGACGTTTTTGGATATGTACCCCTTGGGAGCAAAGATTGTAAGTTGATTTGGGCGACAAGTGACGTCTGCCATGGAAATCCCGGCTGATTGCCGCAAGACGGGGTGCAGGCGCACCACCCCCGCTAGGCACGCTCGACATGGCCTGTGTTGGCAATCATAGCCGGACGATTACCGCTACCAGCCTAGCCGGTTGGCGTCGATCGTCACGTCTTGGCAATTGCTTCGCCAAATATCCTCGTTGAAGTGAAGGTCGAAACATTTCGAGGATTTCATTTCTGACATTTTTTTTCATTTCATTTCTGAACTCTCAGAAGTCAATGGAAGATGTATAATGCGGTTCCTGCCATCAGTAAATTCGAAATGAGCACTAGAAACTATTCTATACAGCAAACATTAGAGTAACAAAACAGATTAGTGTTGACCTTGGTGACGCCTTCATACCTGACTTTAGGTCAATGTCGTTTGCTCATTCAACTGTCGTGTTGCCTAAGAAAGCATCTAAAAGATGTATGGCTTCGTCTAACACTCCGTTGTTGGATCAGATTGAAGAATTCCCTAGAAATCGCCCTCGCTGAAACCATGGCCTGGATTTGGCCTGCCATAGGTCAACGACCTTACAAGGTACATATAAATTTTTGGTGCTAGACGATCCGCTATTCTACTGCCTACAGCTGTGAAAAATTTGATCTTCAAGATGGCTATTTCGGTTCTTTCGGTTTCGGTTTGTACAACCTTGGATGAGAGCCAATTGATGCCAATTATACCTGACAATGGTGCTTACAGATGCCAGATATTGACGACTCGACAGTTAAATTTTTATTGACCTTGGCCAGTGGAATGGCAGGATACGTATGACGTTATCATCGTATTACAATTCCCTGATTAACCTTGAAATATTCTGCACGAAACAGTCTACACGCCTTTGCGAGCGCGACGCTCAGAAACAAGAGGATTTCAGGTCTGAAGAAGGGAGAGACTACGTAGTGCATCGGGCGACCTTCAAGGTGCTATTTCACTTCAAAACACTACACAAATGTGGAGCACTCACTTGACACAGTGCCACACAGTGCTTGCATTTCACTTTTCTAGGTTTTACGATCTGGTGCCCCATGCCACCGAGTAAGCCGCGACAAACAACGAAGTTTTTCAATACCACGCAAGCAAAATTTTGAAGAAGATAGCTGTCGCTTTCCGCTATTCAGTTCTTTTGGTGTTAAGCCACGAAATACTTGGCAGCGTTTTTCGAAAATCAATGTGCCTTTTCTTTTTAGTTCAGTTTAAGCAGCTTGCAGCGATAACTGCTCGCGACTAACAGTGTTTTCAACCTTGCCACACATCGCCCATTAAGAGGGAAACCTGGAGTGCCTTCCCAGTCCGCTTCGGCACATGGATACTTACGTTAAAGAGAATGTTCCACATCTGAAGATATTGAAGCAAGGGTCAGATATGATGAACAAAAACTCAGTAACAAATGTAGATATACTTAAGTAGAAAAGACTGTTGAAGATAAAACAATTTCTCGATTTCGTAAATATGCCTGGCAACACATCATTGTTTGATTGCGTCGTCTTGCCTTGCACAAACTTGATTGAAATCCAATTGATGGCTGTTATGCCTGGAAGGCCTGCTCACGAACGCTAGATATGAACGAATTGACAACTATACCTTTCTTGCCTTTGATCGGCGCTTGGATGTTGGAATGGCAGGATTTGAATGACGTTATTACGTCACGAATGCTTGGGTGACTTTGAAATAGTTTCCCCGAAAAAGCCTGCACCTCTTCGCGGGTGTGCATCTCAGAAGATGGAGAAGCTTTTGTCGCAACACGAGCAGGGCTGTCGAATGCACTGATTAATTTTCAAGATAGATATTGCAGTTCAAACCCTTACACAAATCTTGAACACTCATTTGAATGAAAGGTGTGTTGTATGGAAGGACAAATTTGCGTTTTATCAGCATAATGCGCGTTTGCGCAGCTGTTCAAATAAAATCTTCCGTGGTTTTCGGTACGTCATAAATCATTTTTCCTATAGTCATTTAAGTGTTATGTTTTTAGGACATTCGTTCTCCAGTTTTAAAGTAATTTGAGACAGTCAGCAGGAAACCCTCAAATATGGCCAAATACGAGGCACGCTCTACCTGACATAATAAAAGGTGAACGATCAGTAAACAGAATATGCATTCGAATATCAGACAAAATTATGAAACATATACAAACGCACGCAGATCAATTTTCCAGCCAGTTTGACACCATGGCAAGTTCGAGATGTTAAATCACCTGACTGTTATTGGATGCCGGAGCAAGCCTAAAGTGATACATGATCTTATCTATTTGTTTAAGGCAGGCATTCTTTCTCTGATGAGGGTGACTTCGGGAGCTTATAACGGCGTTCGGACATGATTTCAGGATCACTGCGTTTTTAGCTAGCCCAGAGCTAAGAAGTTTTGGGTTGTTGGCGTTACGCATGTGCTGGTCTGGCGCCTCCTCCTGCAGGTGCTATGTCATGCGTCGTGACGGAGATGTTGTTATCATTCCAATGTAGGTCGTGTTGCGGAGCCGGCAGTTTTCGTGCGTCATTTCAATTCCTACACTGCATCGGTGCGCTTTAGTTGATCTGCTGTCAGGCTGTTTTTCATTGCAAGGCTACTATTTGCCTTGCTCTTACAACAGACCATGTGTCTTATAGCATTGTCGTCGTCAGTTGGTGTGATATTTGTGCTGACGATTTCTGCGAAACACTTCAGTTTCATCAGTTCAATTTGGATATAATCTGTTGGTCAATCGCGTTGTTCGAAAAGTAATTATAAACAAGCAACAGCTTGCACCGTTCAAGCTCGTGGTGCGTGCTGGACCAGCGGGAGCCACATTTTAGGGCGCGTCGTAGAAAAAGAACGGATGGCGGCTACGTGGTAACGCTATTGACATTCGCTAGCCAGGTTCGTGTATTTGCCAGTATCATTAGGCGTACGGCGCATTGTCGTCACGGAAAAATCCGTTACTCGTATCCATATCGATGGCAAGAAATGGCAAACGGCTGCCAACGCTCAGGTCAGTATAGCTCGCGTAGCTCGGAAACTAGAGAGGCTTAGGTCTTAAAGGGGTAGGGTTGTCAACTGTACCGGCTGATCTTCAATAGGGCAATTTTAATTCAAAACCTCCAACAAAGGTGTAGTCTTCTCTTTAAGGAACGTATGGATCCAAAACGATGCTTCATTTTGGCATTGGAAAAATAAATATATTATGAGTGTGACATGGGAACAAGCTTTAATTCGTTGCAGTGTATTTCACAGAAACTTGGGGCCTACATCGGTACCAAGGCAATAGAAAAAAATACACAATGGTCGGTGTCTTGCTTCCGCAACAACCGTCTGCAAGCTTGGCTCAAACGGCTCAAGCCGTCCAAGCCGCTTTTTTTGTTTGACCAATCACGTGACTTTGCATCCCACTAATCTTCGGCATTGCACGCTATCACGTGTGCACCTCCAAGAGAACCGTGCGCTGCGACGGCGGTCTAGAGAAAGCGGGCAGCCGTCTCGCGCGTGTTGAAAAATAACAAACACCAACGGCCAGGGATGTAGGCAAGGGGATGGAAAAGGAGGGTCGTACTGCCAACTGCCCAATTGTGCCGAAATGCTTGCAACAGATGCCGTGGTATTCACAAGACTGTGGTTTAAGTTTCTAGACTTGGAAGCGAATTTTACATTTATACCCCATGAGGAAACTTTTGGCAACGTGCCATATGATACCATGAGAGAAGTAACGCAGTTTAGGAACGGCGTTGCATCGCGCCCTTATACCCATCTACTCTACGGTCTTCGCACTTGGTCCGTATACGGGCAGCGCTACACAGTTTTTGTTTTTGAATCCCGTTAATGCGTGACGATAGCTACGTCGTGCTATTCTAAATTACGCATCCCCTAGACGTGCGTTATTGGTGTCACGTCCCACTATGCTATCCAAGTGTCCGTCGGTTGCCCAGCCGGTTGATCGAGCTGACTCTCTCTTCCCACTGTATTCAGTTGCCGCAGATTTACATCGAATCGCCGGCCGGGACGAGGGTGGCGCAGTGGACAGATGTGACTGGTCAGAGCGGGCTGGTGCAGTTGGAGATGCAGCTGGCCGATGAACCCAGTCTGGTGAGTGGTGCAGCTAGGGTTACAGCGGACCGAGGAGTCCAGCCAGGTGAGCGGCGCAGCTGGAGTTGCAACTGGCCGTTGAACACAGTGTGGTGAGTGGTGCAGCTGGAGTTGCAGCTGGCCGGTGAACACAGTGTGGTGAGTGGTGGAGCCAGCTGGAGTCGCAGCTGGTCGATGAACACAGTGTGGTGAGTAATGCAGCTTTTGATGCAGATTATCAAGAGCCCGGTGTGTGCGCGCGCGCGCGTGTGTGTGTGTGTGTGTGTGTGTGTGTGTGTGTGTGTGTGTGTGTGTGTGTGTGTGTGTGTGTGTGTGTGTGTGTGGAAGTGTGCATGGACCAGTGTGGTTGGTGCAGTTGGAGACCTGACTTTCAGGCGCGGGGCTAATATGGGGGGGGGGGGGAGGGGCTGAGCCAAAGACGCTCCTTATATGCACAAAGTGTCAGCCGTGATTACCCTCTCGCCTGTTGGTTACGGGCTGAGCCAGAAATAAACGGAGCGGACCACATCTTTCTTTTCGCTCGCATATATCTGTTAGAATTATTTCGTGTTGAATCCATAGCAATGCCCCAACAAATTATTGTCAGAGTGTTCTGAGCGATTCTCGCGCATTGTTATGCTATAAACGTGGCCACTTGAAAATATCAGATCCTGATTCTGTTTATACCTAGCATTGGTTTTTGGTTGTGATGGGCTAAGTGGATATAGATGATGTTAGCTCAGCGAGCTAATGCGGCTATCGATATCGTCGATTGCTGTATACAATAAAATCCATCGCACCTGAGGCCATAGTGTTGAAGTTAAGTAGAATGCTAAAATAGAAGATCAGACATCCCAGATAACAATTGCACTCTAGTTAAAACATGTAATATTGGCTAGATACTTCGATAGATGAAACTCTTAGCTGAGACATGTGTTACATGCGTTACATTACACGTGCGTTACGTGCGTTACATGCGTTGCATCCCAAAAGTACATACAGTTTCAGAGCAATTCACACAATGTGATTAATTTTTAAATGCCACACAAGCCGTGCAATTTACCACACTTTTGTTGTGCTCGCGTAGATACGACTGCACAAAGCCTGGTTAATGGTCTATGCGAGGCATGCCCATATTGTGGAGTAAAACACCATGCATTAGATAATATCATTTTGTCGCTTACATGACTTAAGTTTCTGAAACATGGATAAGATCAGCATAGTATATATGCCCGATCAGCGTACAGAGGCGTAGACTTCCGCGCGGAAGCAGCGGTCTTCAAAGGCCGCGTGTTCTTGGTGATTACGTTAATATGCACGTTTGTTTTCGACCGTTCCATAGCAAATCTATACCAAATTTGAGCTTAAAAGTACAGAAGTCTTCACGAGGCTGACGGATTCTATAGGCTTTATATGTCACTGAAGTTCAGCTTCTGTTGGCATTTAACCAAGACTGGACAATTGGGCGTCCCGAATGCAGGGTTAAGAGCGCAGACGCCCTTGCGCGACCGGAACAATAATGTTTGATGCCCTTTGGCAGACGTTATGCCAAAACAAAACATGTCGTCGAGTGGGATGGCTTTTAAGCAATCGTGAAATTACAGATGTAAGCGATTCTCTGTCTTCAGCGATGTGTAACCTGTAGGACTGGGAGAGCTAGGGGAGTGGCAGCCACTCTGCCCTCCAACAGGCAAATTTCGGGTCAGTGACATGATTTAGTGGCGTTACCGTGCAGTAGTGCTCGGCACAGTCCGTCCTACCCTCTGACGTCACCTGACCTTAAGCGCAGCCCCTGCTGCCGGCTGCATGCCTCTCAAGTCAGGGGCACATAGAGAGCGCTCAAAGCGGCTCGAAGCCGCCCCAGCCACGGATGAGTGAATCCGAAGACGAGGGTTTAACCAACAAAGGTGCTTTAGCAGATAAACAATTACTGCTTTCGCAAAACACCCCCCTGAATTTCTGACACCTTTCACTAATCCTGGTATACTGAAGGTCTGGCATTTGTTTTCATAAGTACATGCAACATAAAAACATTGCTAACATTCATACTATTTGCAGAAAAACAAAGACCTTATGGCCTATTTAGCTTAGACTTTCAAGGATTTGAAGGCTATCGATATCTTTACTCAAATGCTTCAGTCAAACATGCTAAAAGCGTGCCACGTTTGGTATTTTGGTTTGGTTGCTTCCAGCTTGGCTCAAAACGCTTTATCCCTCGGACAGGCCATGCAGTCACTGCAGGATTAGCATGCAAGGCTGCTCAGTGCTTAACAATATGTCGGTAGATCACCACGGGGGATCTCCTGTGCCGTCTGGCTGGTGGCCCGAAAGCCTGTCTATTCCCCGTCTCATTGTTTGCAGGGTGAATGGAACATACACGTAGCGACAAGTGGCGGGCGTAAGGTGAAAAAGACATTCAAGGTCGAAGAATTTGTGTTGCCCAGGTTCGAGGTCAACATCCAGGGTCCTCCATTCATTCTGGGTGACGCCGAAGAAGTGGCGTGGAAGGTGTGCGGAAGGTGGGTGCCAAAGTGTCATGTTCCGAGATGTATTGTGGACGCCGTTGACGGGTGGCCACTCGCGTCATGCGTACTCGATTGCCCCTTGTGAATACTGTGCCGATGACCCACTGAAACGCTTTTTTATCCGTACCGCACTAGTGTGAGGCGTATGTGTGGTGATATGGATTCCTACGCTTACGAACATCTAACTTGGCCATTATTTCGTCCTACGACTGTGCTGTCTGTAGATGCATGTCTTTGTTGGTCCATGAACTGCAAGTGCCTTTCAGAAGCCGTGCACTTTAGGTTCGATGTAAAACTACTGCAGTCAATTTTAGGTACACCTACGACAAGCCGGTGCAAGGAAAGGCAACCATTCGTGTCACAACTGACGGGTATGCCTGGTGGCATTACTTCCCAAGCACGCATATCCAAGAAAAACACGTAAGTACAAGTGTGCACCTAGCACTAAATGTGAACTGAGGGATAACCTTCAAAGACCCTCCTTTATCACCTCCTTAAACTCTTGGTGTTAAAGTGGCTTAGTTGAAATCTATCTTGCTCAAAATTGATAATTTACGTGAATCTGGCAGTTCAGACCGTGGGTGTCGATTTCTCAAAATACTGGGGGGGGGGGGGGAGCAGAGTCTTAGAAGTCGTCATCAAGGGACAGGTACGAAAACCTTCTCGGATAAAGTCGGCGTATGCTCTGGTTTTTGGCTATCCATAAAAACGCACATACGCATATATATATATATATATATATATATATATATATATATATATATATATATGTATATATATGGATGGGTGGGTGGCTCTTTTAAGTCTTCTTCCAATGCTTGAGAGAGAGCTTTCTCAGCCCTCTCACCTGTTGTTGCACCCCTCGACGTGAGATTAGGCCCGATCAGTTAAAATCCATCCTGCTCGAAATTGGCAATTTGCGCAAATCTGGCATTCAGGCCGTGGGTGTCAATTTCTCAAGGTTCTTGGGACGGGGGGGGGGGCAGAGTTTTAAAAGTCGACATGAAGGGACAGGTGCGAAAACCTTCCCGGGCAAAGTCGGCGTACGCTCTGGTTTCTGGCTATCCAAAAAAATGCACATACGTACATATACATACATAAATATAAACATATATGTGTATATGTATGAATATGCACACATATATATATATATATATATATATATATATATATATATATATATATGGATTCAAACCACACTTACCACATCTTTTTTAACCTTCTACGCGAAGCCACATCAATCACGTATGCAAGTCTGGCAGTTCGCATCAGTTTCGTACAAAGGCACTTGTTTTGTGGAGCTCAAAGGGCGCAGTTGCATCTCGCTCTTGTGAACTGAAAAGTAAAATATGCATGCAATTTACCATTCCCTGTCTTAAACTTTTTGTGTGGATTCTTATGCATTCACGAAAATATTGTTCACAATATGTCCGGCGTTGTGTACCGTGTACATGAAGCCCCTCGACATTTAAAAAAGAAAATCATTGATAAGCCATATACATTTCACTTTACATCAAACAAAGCGTAGGCACTCCTCCAGGCATAACTCCAGAAAATGGTTCTCTACCTTTCCCCACAACGCTTAGAGACGTGTTCTCTTCTTCATAATGCCTTTCCCCGCTCGCTTCATCTCACGCGACTGCGAGCCAGCTGTAATTCAGGGAGACACTGTTCCAAGCTGGTGTGCCACTGAATGAAAGCCACTCTAACCCGCTTCAGCTCGAATGTATGGCGAATGAAACGACCATAATGTTAATGCCGCCTGCAAGCAAGTTGTTTGTAAAGGCGTTGCTAATTGGGCTGACTCTGAGATGTCAGTGACCAGGGGCGTCTTGGAATCTTCAACCTCTGCTCAGAATCGATGTTGTAAAAGACTGACATAACATGTTTTTGACCACGCGAGGTCTCAAATTTTAAAACAAAAACCCTGAGGCCCGGCGTTGCAGTCTCCGTAGGCCCCGCGGCGTCAGTCTCTGCCTATATTGGGCGGCAGCCGGTGAGCGGACGAAAACGGCATTGTATCTGAAAGAAGTACTTTTGAACGCCTTAAGATGCCAATTCGTACTTTCAGAAGGTAATTTGGAAGCAGGTTTCACCTGTGCAACTTATATATTTTTGGGAGGATCGTATGAGCATCCCCAGAACTGCAAATCGGTGACGGAATTTGATGGAGGAATGAGACAAGTAAACATAGAACCGCTTTTTCTTGTTCCTTAAGCTTTTTTATCAGCTCAGAAGACATTCTCAACACTTGACATGTGAAACTGACGCCCTGGTCTGATCTTTTGAACGGTACAAATTCATTTTGAAAGACTTTCGGCAGCATCATTTCACAACGACCGTTCTCGCGCGTCAGGTGCCCGCCATCCGGTTTGGTCTACTAACACCGCTCGGTAACATGGAAACTGCAACTGTGGCCAGCAGTTTTCTCTCTTCTAGTACTGCGAGTACGCAAGCTCAGAGTTCTTTTTAAAATTGTTCCACATGTTTTCTCGGATCGAGGATGCACGCAGGGGTAAGACGCTCTAGAATAGGATGTGGGCTGAGCCAACAAAGCTGACCTAACATACGCTAAAATTCTAATTTTTATCTGGACATCGGCCAGTTTGATTTCCGGCCCTAATACCAAGATTAAGCTGAAAGAAATATTTGATCGGTTCCAGCGTTTTTATGTTGTTGATGTCTGATGTCTCTTGATGCGTTTAGCGTCTACTATACCGGCAGTTTAGACACCAGCTGTATTTCATTGGTCCAGTGTATCCTTTTTCGCTTATGTGCATTGGGGGTGATTGGTTCAGCATAGTATTGAAGGGGATTAAAGGCAATGTTTGCCATTTGTATGGGGGTTTTGACCCGAAAGAGCAATTTTGAAGATCATTTGGTGCAGTTCACAGTCCTTACCTTCTTAAAGGGAATGCTCCAAAGTTGAGATATTGAAGCATGCATCAGATATGATGAAATAGGCTCACTTATAGTAATATGTATACTATTAAGTGAGAAGGACTGCTTTAGACATCACAATTTCTCTGTCCAGTAAATATACTCCTCAATGCGTCATTGTTACTCCTTTTAAAGGCAATGTTTAACGTTTGAAGATATTTGAGGAGGCATGGGATGTAATGAAATCAAGCTCAGCCATGACTGTTAGTGTATCTTTAAGAAGAAAAAACTGCTCTAGACAACACCATTTTTGTCCTGTTTAGTAAATATGCTCGACATGTCATTGTTTAAATATGTCTTTTTACGTTGCACAGCGTTGATTGAGACCCCATTGACGGTCGTTGCCGTGGAAATCATGCTCACGAACGCCAAATATGAACGACTCGAACATTATATATTTTTTGGCCTTGATCGCCGCATGGGTTATGGAATAGCAGGATTTAAATAACGTTGTTATGACGTCATGAATGCGACGTTGACATTGAAATACTTTGCCCGAAATAGTCTCTCCATCCTCGCGAGCGTGCAGCTCAGAAACTAGGGGCTCAACTTTTAAGATGGGCAGGGCTGTAAACTGCACAAAACGCTCTTTAAAATGAGCGTTTTAGTTCAAAACGTGACAAAAATGTTTAACAGTCCCTTCAAGGTTTTAAACCTTCAAGTGTGTGAGATACACGCCCGTCCGAAGATGTGGAGACTGTTTTGTGCATATTTCCTCAAGGCCATTCAGGCATGCATGCATGCAACAATAACATCATTCAAATTTTGCCGCATCACAGGTCTTGATACGTTTAAGGCTGATAACAATATTTTTGTAGAACCATCCAGATCTGACGTCCAGGAGCACGATTTACAGTTCTGACAGACGTCAGTGTGCTCCCATTCAGTAATGAGCAAGCTGTGCCAGTTCCAACCATGAGTCGCGTTCTTTGCTGCGTAATGTAAGAAATTATGCATGGTCGCTGGCTATTACGGAAATGATGTTTCTGATTGAATAACTCGAGAATGGCGCCATAACCAAGTATGTAAACGCAAGTATACGTTTTAAACTCTCGTGTAACTGTGCAGAAACGCTACGAGGGAGGCCCAAAACATGAGCGCATAACCATATTTGGCTTAGCGAGCACTTTCCGCTCCGCTACTGCCGTCTTTTGGCGGATTGGAGTTCTTTATGTGAGTGCTAGAGTGGCAATCTCGCCCAGCTACTTGGCACTATCTCAACGTCATGCAAACTTTCCATGACGTAATCAAATAATTACGCATAGAGAAGCATATCTACGAAAGCGAGAAATGTTGTCATCTACAGCAGTCTTGTTCACTTAAAAGCATGTCAATAGGTTTAAGTGAGCTGATTGCATCATATCTGATGCTTGCTTCAATATTTTGAGATGTGGAACATTCCCTTAAAATCAGCATTGTGGCCAGGGTGGCTCAAGAAATCCGAAATGACACAATGTGATACCCTGGATGAACGTCCTTTTCATCTTTGACATTCATTTTTGACCCCATTTTGATCATCCTTACTTAATGCTTATACAACCCTTACATTTGTACGCGCAGGAATCCCAGAGGATAGGACCCTAAGTGCACTTAAGGGTCGTTAAGGGTCGTTAAGGGTCGTCCAACTCTCATTGAACGTTATCATATCCACTTTTACTGACAGACCTCCCCAACAAAAGGCTCTCTAGCATTCTGTTTCTAATCTCTATTCCTGTCCATCAAATGTTGCCGTGCCCGACTTGGGGCCTATTGCGAACATGGGACCATCTGTCAGACACTGTGGTCTCCTGACCGACACGACATATTGTTACAAGGGTCCCGCTCCCGACCAAGGCGACTCGCCGCCACCGGACTTGTCTTTACTTGGTAAATGGGCCCCAGCGCTTAGACCAACATGAGGCCGATTGTTGGCTGTTGTTAGTCTCGGACCGAAATAGACGCCCGTATTGTCCTTGGGTGTCCCCAAACGGTGTAAGGGGTTTTCCGACGGACATTTGAGAGTCCGTGATAATGCCATAAATGGACCTGCCCTACAGAACGGTGTCCTTAATGTGACCCACAGCCAGCCACTCGTACCTTCTAATCCGGCACTTGATCGAAGGCCCCTCTGCGAGGCTCCTTCGAACATTGCCCTAGGCCGTTTCTGGATTCCTTACCATACATGACCTTTGTTATGCACTGTGTTCTCAAGATCGACACAGTGGCCCCGACCGATGTAAGTCGCAGGCCCTGGTCTTGTCCCTGCTTGGGAAATGCGCGCTGAATTTCAGGCCTGACGCTTGAGTAAGTTGGTGGCGAACCCGTCACGTATCACGGTCGTTAAGCCTACACCAAAGGGGCGCATTTTCGCAAAATAGACTGGGGAGCTGAGCGGGGAAACCCTAGCCTTAAATACACAAAAATTGGTTTCGCCCCAGGTTTGACCTACTTTCCTCTCGCCGTAATGGAGTTGGGTTTATACCCAATTGAATAAAAACATACAGCACCGGCCTAATACGTTTCCTCGCTTTACCTCGGTAGCAGATATTCTCGTTGGATACCATTAACATTTTGTTCAGCAGCGATCACCGAAATCACGCTTCGGTAATTGATGCAGGGCCGACGTTACGTGGCTGCAGACGTTGTTGGGCCATTTACGGCTTTCGGAGTAAATAGAGTAAGCTGGCGTGCGCGACCATTAAAGGCTGCCTCGGAAATCCCCGGCTGGTAGCCGTAAGGCGGGCTGCGGGCTGCAACACAACACTCGTGTTAAGCGTGTTTGACAGGGCTGGCGCTGTTTTGGAGGTTATTTGGAGGTTAAATGGAGGCCAGCGTGTTTTAGTGGTTCTTTTGCTGCTGCCGGCTAAAAATTTGCTCACAATTCTCTCTGCCAACATTTGACCGATGTGTTGTAATTTCCAGTAACACATGGTATTGTATCGACAAAAGAACGTAACTTTCTGCAGCCAGACATTTTCCTTGCTCTTTTTGCGTGTAAAACAGTTAGCTTCTACTAAAATTCAGGTAATTTTGATTCCGCATTTGCGATCGCCTGCCAGTGCTTTGGCTGCAGAAGGTGGGGCGGGGCAAACTCACCTGCAAAGGGGGGGGGGGGGGGGAATCGGACAGCGAGGGGCAGTAGCGCACCGAGGATGATACAAATGGATACCCGTGCCTCAGACTAATCAGAAAGTTTAGAAATGCCATCTTTCCATCATTTTTAGGCAGGTCATGCTGATCATGTGTTTGAAAAAATCCCATTTTCGCTGACAAGCACGTAACCAATGAGCTTTTTCAGCGTTAGCTATCAGTGTTCTTCAACTTCAGAAATCAGGGCTTTTAACCGTTAGTAGTGTTTTTCAACGTTAGCAATCCATTTTTTTCGAAACGGCTGGTACCTTACGCTGCTAAATGAATTCATAACGTGGTACTTCTTATTTGTTTCTGTTATAGTGCCGGAGGATATGCATGGATGCCACAATATGCACAGCATACCTGCACTGCCATATAGTCTCCGTTTGTCGCCTGTCGAAACCGTGACGCAGGCGGAAACGTCCCCCAGACGGCCGCCGGCTGGCGCGGCTCCGTCTGAACACAGTGCACAATTCGGCAGACCTCCGGGGACGACTGCGTCGTGTTCCACGTCAGGAGCGGAGATCTCAGCTTCGCATCTGAACCCCGCAGTTTCAAGGTCACCGCCGAAGTAACAGAGGACGGCACTGACGTCACGATTAACAGCACCAAAACGTTCACCGTTGAGTACCAGAAGCTGAAGCTGGACACTGAAAACCAGAGAAGCAAATATTTCAAGCCAGGACTTCCCTTCGCCGATCAGGTACGTGCCAAACGAGCTAAACGCCAATTTGTTGGAAGGCATCGGGGTCGTGGTGTAAAGGAAGTGTGGATTCTCGCTGATTTGTGGTTGGGAGAGATGAAAAGAGGCATCATCCGCGTAGAAAATGACATTTCTGTATTTTGCCCATAGCCTGAAGGCAGCGAGCAGAGATAGATTTGGCTTTGAAGGACTTGCGCCGACGCGAACAATTGGTCCCGGTCGCTAAGCTTCTAGCTGAGACAAGCCATGAAAATGACAGTGGTGACGCATTTAGTTTTGTGTTTCGGAAGACAGGGATGCTGGATGTTGATAAACAAAGATTGGAGATGATCAATTACACAAACGTTTCGGTCTCATTCCCGTTCAATGCTCATTGACGTCGGTGCGTGAGATATAACACCTGAATTTAGGTTGCGTCTTTGTGTGCCCGCGTAGTTTCTTAGAAAGGATTTCGTTGTCGGTGAGATGAGAGCAAATTCTGTTGAAGACCAGGTTCTTCGGAATTTGGAATGAGCATGAGAAAAATGGTCAGTCAGAAATAGTATTTTGATGTTTGCTCTTAAAATGCTTTTCGTTTACATTTCTCCTAACATCCCCTCTGTTTTCAAACGCAGCGTGCTCGTAACTTGCAAATGCCTGATTGATTACCATGGGACTGCTTGCAGAATTGCGCTATTGTTGCTTTCATCTGGTTCTGAGGTGGGGACCCCTGAACCTTGCATTACATTCGGACACGGCATGGTGATCAGATACCGCAAGTGTATCAATGCTGACGTGAAGCACGTTGGGTCTCCTGCTAACCACAAGTATTTCAGCGGCCAACATGGGATCTGGCGACTTTACGCTGGGTCAGTTCCTCCCCTCCTGGAGATTGCGTAGATTAACGTACGCTGGACACCGCAGCAGCGAAACTCTCATGCGCACAAATGCACCAGCCTGGAGGAATCCTGCTAAGCGTGCTGCACCATCCATAGATAACAGACCTTGTCTGTCGGTATGCCATGTATGTGTGTCCTGGTGCTCTGCTGCCGAGTGGCTGCGTCAAGTGTAACTGGAGGTGCCTGGCTCTATTTCTAACTCTGTTGTGTCAAGTGTAGCTAGAGATGCTTGGCTCCGTTTCTTACTCCGCTGTGTCAAGTGTAGCTGAAGGTGCTTGGCCCGTTCCCTAACATAGCTGTGTCAAGTGAAGCTGGGGGTGCTTGGCTCCGTTTCTTACTCTGTTGTGTCAAGTGTAGCTATAGGGGCTTGGCTTCTTCTCTAACATAGCTGTGTCAAGTGTAGCTGGATGTGCTTGGCTCCGTCTCTAACTCAGCTGTGACGAGTGTAGCTAGAGGTGCATGGCCTCGTTTCTAAGTTAGCTGCGTCAAGTGTAGCTGAAGGTGCCTGGCTTCGTCACTAACTCAGCCGTGTCAACTGTAGCTGGAGATGCTTGACTCCGTTTCTAACTCAGCTGCGTCAAGTGCAGCAGGCGGCGCTTGGCTCCGTCTCTAACATCGCTGCGTCAAGTGTAGCTGGAGTTGCTTAGCTCCATCTCTAACTCAGCTGTGTTGAGTGTAGCTGGAGGTGCTTGGCTCCGTCTTTAACTCAGCTGTGTCGAGTGTAGCTGGAGGTGCTTGGCTCCGTCTTTACCTCAGCTGTGACGAGTATAGCTGGAGGTGCTTGGCTCCGTCTTTAACTCAGCTGTGTCGAGTGTAGCTGGAGGTGCTTGGCTCCGTCCTTAACTGAGCTGTGTCGAGTGTAGCTGGAGGTGCTTGGCTCCGTCTTTAACTCAGCTGTGGCAAGTGTAGCTGGAGGTGCTTGGCTCCGTCTTTAACTCAGCTGTGTCGAGTGTAGCTGGAGGTGCTTGGCTCCGTCTTTAACTCAGCTGTGTCGAGTGTAGCTGGAGGTGCTTGGCTCCGTCTTTAACTCAGCTGTGTCCGCCGCCACGTTCAGATCACGGTACGCCACCCGGACAACACACCAGCTCCCGGTGAGCTGGTCCGGCTGTGTTTTGAGACCCACCGGACGACGACAGACCTCGGAATCACCATCAAGTGAGTGTCTTCGGTCTTTGTTCTCACCCAATTTTATGAGATTGACCAGCAGAAATGCACTGGTGCTTTAACATTATGAGTTCTTGTGCTGAAAATAACCGAGCTTCGACGTCCCAAGAAGAGCTTGGCATATGCCAATGGGCTGACGCAAAGCCAGGATCGTAGCTAGCTTGAAACCTGGCCGTCGCTGAAATAATAGTTATCTATGTAAATGCCAGACATGAGAAAGTAAACTGGCTAACCCCCGATCTTTGTGAAATTTGAGCTGACCGGCAGTTCTGGTCGTGGGCATATTCTGATATACAGATTATAGACAATATACTTAAACACGCGCTTGGGTGGGGATAATCTAACTCCTCCCCCGAAGGTTTTTTCCAGAATGACCTCCAAACCGCGCTGCGTAGCTTTGCTTCACTGCGTCTAGCTGTGGACAATCCAATAGCCGACAGTTTGTGATTATGGAATTAATGTATCATGTAAGGTCGTTGACCTCTGACAGTTTAAATTCAAGCCATTTGTGTCAGCGGAGGCAACTCCTAGTGAATTGTTATCAACTATGTATTGTATGCGATAACGGACTGTTAACGAAACCCATACATCCTTGAGATGGTTTCTTGGACAATTATAAATATTATTTAAGATCTTGACAAATTTCAATGGCCATGTGTCAGGTTCGAATGATGTTACAGCTGTTTACGGAGCTTTTGAGCCGAGCTTGAGAGCTTGCTATTTTGTCAAAGTAATTTTCACGCTTATTCTGAATTTCTTGCTTACAGAGACACCAGCAAACCTCTTATCTGTACCTCATAAAGACAGATATCACTGGGCTAAAATGGTCCCCATCGACCTACTGTTGTTAATAGCACGCCTTTCGGCGTAGTACTTGCTGCTTTTTAACCTTCAAGACCCACAACTTCGTATGTAGTTGGTGGCCGTGGCTTTCTGAAGGTCAAATAAAGTTACTGACCTGAAATCAACACCAGGCACCTTTGCTTAAGAAATGAATCTAGGTTAAAGGTAGCTTCTTGAGAATGTCTGTAGGCACTTGTGACGCCGAGCTGGTGTTTAAATTTATTTGAAATCTCTGACCCAAAAGTTATGACCCTAAAACCCAACACGAGTGAGTTCACATATTGGTCTACCTATCCCTACTGTATATTTAATATCCATAGATTACTTGCTCTTGGAGATGTCAAGGGTTATCCTGACACCTTCCGCGACCCCAAGCGCGTCGCTGTCATTGGCCACCCGGACGCATGTTAAACGAGTGTAGTCCCCAATGACTGGGAACTTCCCAGTAACTTGGGAAGCGATGCTCTCTAACTCTGCACGACTGTACTTTTGGAGGTCTTCTGCCGATCCGGTCTGTCTGAACGTCACGTCTGACAGCAAAGGTGTGGTCGCGTTCACTCTGCCACCTCAAGATCAGAAAATCGAAGACATATCTATTCAGGTATTTGATAAAACGCTTAAAAATGGTGGCGTTTGTTGTGATAGCAAACGGCAAGAAACTCGGGTTAGCGAGTCTGGGGCTCCGTTTTTGTATCAACATCAGCAATGGGGACTTACGCGCTCGCTGGCCCCGGCGGCGCTTGCCCCTCCCTTATACTATTCATTACATCAATATCTTCGTTACTACATGCTAACACTAGACAACCTGATACAGACACATAAATATAAGTATATCGCGTACGCGCGTTCATGTTTTTATACCATGAGACAAATGTTGTGTGCGTGCGTTGCGCTAACCTAAGTGTTTAATAAAAAGGCATGTGAAGAGTTGGGTAAAAGGGTATAACATGTGCGTGGGTGGTCTAGCTCTCGCAACGTTTCTACTCTCCTGTTTGGTTTCACGCAGTAGACCAGTGAAAGCTGAACGTTCTATGAAGAGAACAGAAATGGCGGGAGAGAGGGAGGGTGTTTGCGAGCGTGCGTGCATGCGTGTGTGCGTGCGCGCGCGCGTGGTATTTGTGTGCGTGTGTGTGTGTGTGCGCGTGCGCGTGTCCGAGTACGTGTGCGTGTTCTTGTGCGTGTCTGCAAGGGCGTGTGCCTGTACGCGTGCGTGTGCGTGTGCGTGTGCGTGTGCATGTGTGGATGTGGTTTATTTTGCGCGCTGAGGAAGACGATTTCGTCTATGTCATCCTCCTTACTTAGTTGTGACTGACAATGCCCTTCAGGTGTCCATAAGTTAGCATAGTGGAAAGGTATCAGATTTGTAATCGATGCACATTGTCATAGCCTATTCATGTTCCAACGATTACGTAGCTTAATACACGCCCAGGTGGCCGGTTAAATGCACTTCGCTCGGATGGGAAGCCAAACTGACGCCTTGTGATATCAAGTACTAAAGAAAATAGAAGCACATAGCTCACAACTCACAACTCACAGATTGAGTTGGGTGGTATACGGACTCATTTGTGTCAACAGTTGATGTCCATATCAACATAGGTCATGACATCGTGTGAAATAGGGTCAAAGAGTATCAAAAAGGAGACTGATGTCCAAACTACCCCTAGATCTCCTCATGTAACCGCCTTAAACCTAAATTCCGGTTCTAAACAAAAGGTCACTGGTGATCATTTTAGTTCGGTGACCTTGTTTGACCTTCTGATGATGGGGATAGAAAATAAAGAAGATTAGTTTGATTCTGAACTTGAATTCGCTTTAAGGATTACGCTAGGCGGTACGTTCCAAAAACAAAAAGGATAGACCTGGGTCATTCAAGGCCAGCGACCCACTACATATAATAAGTCTATAACATATGTCTGCTGCGGTCCCTGTGTTTAAGAAATTTGAGATATACATCAGAAGCCTTTCAATAAGAAGGTTTTTTATTAAAGAGTATGTTGGTTTGACCTCGGTCTGGAATTCGCACCTGACCCTAGGGCAATGAACTTTGTCACTTTCCAAAATTCAATTGATTTATCACCTAAGAAGCTAACTTAGAAATGCATGGCTTCTTCTAATACTGCCTTGTCGCATCAGACTGAACGATCCTCTAGCTGTCCTTGTTGACGGCTTCGGTGTGATTTTGACCTCCATAGGTCAACGACGTTACAAGGGGCATCTAATTTGGTGAGCTAACAGATCCGCTATTCAATTGCTTGCGACTACGCAAACTTAAATGCGGCATTGCGGTGCCGTTAGCCACTTACTTTGCAATAACTTTTGGGAGAGAGGGCAAATTGACTCCCACCCGAAAGCGGAGTAAAGGCGGTACCATTCCCATGCCGGCGACGTGAAGTCGGAAAAAACTTAATCACTGCGAGAGCGACATTCCAATGACCGTCTACGCGTGGGCAACCACCCAGCTACCCGCGCTCACCGCGCGGGCAAACTTCCGTGGAATGTCAGCCCGGTTACTTTCGCTGCAGGCCACGATACCGCGCCTATCCGAGACCAGGTACCCGTACGGCGGAAGCAGTTGGTCTTCCGCCCTGCGCTATTGGTACCCATCAACATGGATGAGATCGCCCAGACTCAAGTACAACGTTGAGGGCTGGTCTTCTGAGTCAGGAGCCTTTGTGCAGCTGCTTCGGCTGCCCCGCAAGGAGTTCACGTGCGGCACTGAGGCCCGCATTGACGTCTTCTTCACGACCCGTCTGGGATCGCAGTTCGAGCTGTTTTACCAGGTGAGCTACATCGAGAGTGTATTGTACAGACAACATTCAAAAGCTGCAAATGAAGAAGTCATGCTGCGCGGGAGGTAAAATAAGGCACTTCCCTTGTAGATCTCTGAATGTAAAATGTCTTGATGCGATTCAGACTCGGACCTGGCTTTGGACCGACTCAGATTCAGAATCTGATTAATTCTGCCAGTCTGACTGATTCAGGCTGACTTTGGATATCGTGCTCTTGATACTGGCAACAGATACAAATGTTTTGACACCAGACGTCGTCATTTACTTGCGCTAATAGAAGCTATGCTATATAAGAAGACAGGGATGTACCCCTGCCACCGTTTGAAAATGTGCCTATAGCGGTCATGCTGTTGTAACTCGTGAAGCGGAACCGAGGAATGCAGTCGGAGAAGCGTGTTGACCTTGTGTTCACCGGGCGCGTCAGGTCATGGCCAACAGCGACATCTTGCTGGCGGACTTAGTGCCGGTGACGTTTTCCGAGGCGGTCGACGCCTCTGCACTGCAGGAGGGCAGGGTCGTTAACCTGCCCACGGTGTCCGGGTCACATCCCGTCGGTGAGTGAGGCGTCACCGGCTGGTGCGGCTGGGTCGCCTAATCAGTGTTACGACAGACGGAGCGGTAGGAGATTTGCCCCTGACACTGGGCGGTTTGTGGTGCATAGCGTGTAGCTTAGGAGCTGGCCTGAGTTGAGTATCTTGTTGATGCATGATTTTGCTGCACTCGCGATGGAAATCGCTCTGTGCCGTTACAGCGTCACGCACTGCGTCCAACACAGTCAAGCACCGCCGCATATGAAGCGCCTGGCCCAGAACAGTACACAGTACATAACGGACATTATAGCTGAAGGAGTGGCGATGACACCACGCAGCTGATCATGCCGTGCATGACTGAGGAGTGAGAAAACTATGCCCATCTTGGAGCTTGCATGTGTCTGTACCAAGATGTCGGCCCCGTAACAGTTTGTCTGACATACTGTCATCAGCCCGCTGTTACCCATGTGACCGGCGAGCCACGGGCAGCAGAGAAACACCAACCGGTCTGCGTCAACAGGTCAGGTGGCGCTCGCGATCCCAGTGACGTCATCCATGTCCTCGGGCTTCCATGTTCTGGTCTACATGGTGATTGATGGCGAGGTGATCGCGGACAGCCAGTCATATGCTGCGGAGCGCTGTCTGGACAACCAGGTGTCGCTGAGCTGGTCGCCTGACCGCGTCCAGCCGCGGGACACCGTGCATCTGACGGTCACGGCAGCTCCCCGCTCACTTTGTGGACTCGGTGAGTGGTGGGTACTCTCCGTCCACGGAGCGATAGCTTTCGTACAGTGAGTGGTAAGTGCACTCCACCCATGGGAAGACAGTCAGCTCTCAGCGAGTTGTGGGTACTCTCCGTCCACGGGTTGACAATCTTCTTGCGGTGAGTGGTGGGTACACTCCGTCCATAAAGTGACAGGCGGTCTTGGGGGGGGGGGGGGGGGGAGGGGAGGGGGAACTCTCCGTTTAGGGCGTGATAGTCGGTTCTTGGTGAGTGGTGGACACGCACCATCCACGGGATAATTTATCGTCCGCGTCCGCCCTTGTCCCCCTTCTCAACATTTGTCTTGGCCAATACTTTACGTAAAGCCAAGCCCATCAACGGCTGGCTGCTTTCAGTGTGCATTGCGTGCTTACGTCATTGGAGTGATCGTGCAAAGTCCGAAACTACTTCAGTCCCAGCATCTGCGAAGTTTCCGTCTTCTTTGTTATGTTGTGTCACTGCTATAGTGCGTGCCGTTCCACGAGAGGTTATGTAGTGACTACGGCATTTTCTAAGTGCATTTGCGAGGGACATGATGCATTTATATAAGACAGCCCTGTTGGCCTTGTTCCTGGTTGAATTATTAGAAAGGGGAGATAACACAAATTAGAAGTAAATTCAAAATTGCCTGCCGATCCCCCTCGATACTTGCTTTTCTTCAAACAGCCAGCCACAGCTGTTTTTAACCTAAGAATTTTGTTAGGATCGGCAGGCGACTTCCAATTTTACTACTGATATTCCTTTCGGTCAAGTCATATAGCCGAAATATAAATACATCTGTCTCTCCTTTCTCCTGGTTAACCTACGAGGAATAAGGCAAAAAGTGCTGTTGTATCGTTACGTAATGATATTTGTCATGCCTGCAAACGTGTGCGTACTTCGCGGCGAAGCGTGCCACCCCGCTTTTGTGCGATGTGTATGAGGACCCCGCCATCAAGTCGGAGGATAAGGTCATGCAACAGCGCAAGTGCTCCAGGCATCAGTGGCTCCACATGTATGTGACCATTGACCATGCATGAAGTCATGATACAAATCACTTCACTGTCGTTGAGGCCAACTCTCGAGCTCGTCAACCAAGTGCAGTCTGCCAACCTTTTTGTAAGATCAAACACTAGAGTTTCGCTTTCTTTCTTTTTTGCGCGCGCATAGCTCCATTGTACTGATCTGAACACACCATGCACCCTTCCTGCTTGTGCACGTTCGTTTGTGTACAGTGCTTTACATCAGAAACGATCATTATCATGTTCGTGTTACCACGTACCATGCGACTACCTACTTGTGTTTGTTATGAAAATTTCACGAGAGGTCGAATACCTCGAGTGTGAAGAACATTTCAGAGAGCTTAGCACGCGCTCACGCGGATTTACAACATAATTTCCGAACAACGCGGTGTGCATCGCGGTGTTGCGCTAAATGTTGCAAAACTGTAATTAAACGAGTATTGGATAACTTGTTATATAAAAATTAGACGCACTACGTGAGGTCGCTGATCTATTGCAGGTTGAAGTCTGGCGGTGGCTATCAGTTGAGACAATTTCTAGGAAATCCTTCAATCTGATGAAACAACGGATTTTTAGCCGAAACATCGCATTTCTGATATAGCTTCTCTGGGTGATCAAACAGTCCTATTGAGAATTACAATAAATAACATTGACCTAGGGCCAAGTGTAGAGGTCAGACCGAGGTCAAAACCAACATATTTTTTACTTGAGGTTATGCTCCATGTGGTAGCTTATGGTGCTCATTTCAAATTCATTAATGTTGGGGACCAGAACACACATCTTTCGTGGACTTCTTAAACGTCAGAGTACGTCACTGACCTAAAAGTACACCGGTCAACATCTTTTCAGGAGCAAACCACCTAGCTTAATCCTTGACGCATATTCAAATATAAAAACAAAGATAACATAGCGCTTATGTTGTTCAGTGCATTCGCGAGGAATATTTTTTACTTAGATAAGACAGAAGTAATAGCCTGATTTTTCGTAGAAACACCAGGAGAATGGAGAAATAGATTGGTTTAATGTAAGATGGGATAACGTAATCAAACAATGTAATATGATACTAATATAATACCAATCTATTTCTCCATTCTCTAGGTTTTTCTCCGAGGAATAAGGCTATTGGTACTCACATAACATATGGCTTTGTTAACCATGACTTTAATGCTTCATAAGGTAACTGACCTTAAATGAACATCAGTGATAATTTTCTCAGAACGGTATTTAGGCTGGAGGCGGTTGCACGAGGAGGTCATGGCACACTTTAGACGCCAGTCTGCTGTTAGACTTTTTACCCCATTTGGCCCAAATGTCATGACCCAGGAACCTCAAATTTTGACAGCTGATAACAACTACGTGATTACAATCAGGTGATTCTGACTCGCATACCAGCCTACCCACCCTGTAGATATGGCAGTTGTAGCTTTTCAGGTGGTGAAGCCTTAGGGGTTACTTGCTCGCCCTCCAGCCACCGCCCAAGCGAAGGGCATTCAACCGGCCACCTGGGCGCGTGGTAATATGATTAGAAGTTCAGTCCCCTCATGGTGGATTATACCATTATGCGTCTTTTCTAGCGCAAAACAAAGTTCAGTACATACTGTTTCGGCGCAGATGCCATATGCCGACTGCAAACACTAGCAACATACTTAATATTTGTTTGGCTTTTTGTATGATTCGCGCCGTTAAAAAGCGACCGTTTCCTTTTCCTTTGTGCAAATTATGATCTCTCGCAAAAAGCATCGCGTTTCTTAGGGCTGAATAGTTGAATGCGTGATGAAATAAATCGATAGGTGAATGTGTGGTGTTATATCACGATGGAATCCGTTTGTAGATGTGGTTGACAAATCGGTGAGCCTACTCGGCGATAAGAACAAGATCACGCTGTCTGACATCTATGAGAGCCTTCGAGTTCTCACCTCGCGTGTTGGCATCAGTCAGATCAACGACGACGAGTACTGCAGGGCCAAACGTGAGTACAGTCAGTGCGGCTCAGGCATTTGCAACACCGCATAGGAGTGCACACTGTTTTTCGGGCAAGACGCGTGGCATTAGAGGGAATGATAAACATTTGAAGGCGTTGAAGCATGCATCACATGTGATGAAATAGGATCGCTTACAGCTATAGGTATGCTTGTGAGTGGAAAAGACTGCTTATTACTGTTACTGTTATCGCACCTTACATTACATCGACTGACAGCCAACTAACGGCCATTATGTCCGGAAGGCGTGCTCACCAACGCCAGGCATGGACGACTCAACAAAATTTTTGCCTTTTATTGCCGTGTGGCTAATAAAATTACAGGATCTAAATAGCGTTATTATGGCGGCATGGATGTCTGGGTGACCTTGAAATAGTCTCCCCGAAATAGTTTGCACATCTTCCCCGGCGTGAACCTCAGAAACAATAGAGGTTTAGGTTTCAAGAAGGGCAGAACTGTGAACTGGACCAAATGATCTTGAAGATGACTGGTTCAGTTCAAAACCCCATGTAAAAATGAAGCACTCCCTCCAAAATGGATACTTTCGGAAGCGTATACGGGATGTATGGTTATTTGATGTTAATAATGTGGGGGAGATTAACCAATGGCTGAACTAGATAAACCAATGTTAAGGTTCGTAGACAATTCACTAGTGTTGTTCGTTCCGACCTTCCACGTTCAGGTTAGGTTCGTCGGGCCTGCTCTTGTTTTCCGTTGTCATCGAACATCCAAACACTGAACAGCCAATAGCTTCGGGCTAAACGACCTCAGGTCCTCAGTCTGTGTCACCAGGTCATGTGTGACGTCACTTACGTCCGTCTCACGTGTGGGTGACGTAACTCTGGTGTGTGCCAGACGGACTGCCGCTGCTCTCGGACCCCCCTGGCTCCCCACCAGCCAGGCCGGCCAGGCGGAGGAGGCCGTTCCAGTCGGGTATTACTAGTACACCACTGCGGCGTTACTCTTGGGCTTCGACCCATGCAGATTCGCTCACCGCATTCGGTGTAAGTATTCGACCAACTGAATGCCGAATTAACTGTAAGGAGACAGACAATACTCCGAAAACTGTCTGACAACGCTCCTGTCAGGTGCTGCCGACACACATGCAAGAAACTGCTTTTTCGCAGTGTTTTGCAGCTGACGTGCATATTTTGTACTTGGCGTTTCCTTCGGCGTCACGTGCTGTAGCTGCATTGCTCGATGGTTGTGTCTATGCTGACCTGGCACGCTTGGGACCGTTCTGTTTCAGAGCAGCTCAGTCATGGTGTTGTCCGACCTTGTCACCGAGGCGCGCAATTGTATTGCCAAAATCCTCCCATATTATCCTCGGCGTACTACCTTTGCCTCCGGAGCCATCATTACTGAAAGCGATAGGGCTATAGGCGCTGGCATCTCCAGACCATTTTCAACAGCCACACGACAACAGACGACATATTCCAGCTACGTCACTTCCACCAAAGGTGCGTTCCCATCTAGCCGACCCAATACCCGGCACCAAAAGCCAAGAAATGGATTGCTCTCTGATACAGCTAATTTGACGCAAGTCCTTCACCCGCGCTAGTCACAGGTGGTGGTGCAGTGTAGTAATAACCTCATGCATGATTGTTTTCCACACCCATCAACCATACGATGATGATCCACGACTGATTTGTGTCTTTTCGGAGGCCTGTGGCGTCGTGTTCTTACACAGTTCTCGTAGAGTACAGTTAATAAAGGGAAAGAGAGCATGCGCTCGCTGCTCTTAGGTGACGTGCTCACACTCCACCGATGCCAGCAGTCCCGGACCCGGTCCCCTCAGTAGTGGTTTCCAACGCCCCGGCGCCGCCTCCGTCCGAGGTGCCTGACGAGGTTCGCACCGACTTCCGCGAGACGTGGTTGTTCGACCTCTACACAGTCGGGTCAGTGGACAAACGTGGACGCACCGACTAGGACGAGGCTGCCTTGGATGTGGGCTTGAGCCGTTGATTCTCGTACTCGGATGCTGCTCAAGGGTTTGCTGAAACTATCATGAACACGAATAGCTATGGTTTTATGTCGTTCGAGTGCGGTCACGTATACATGTAACCATTGAGCGCAGTGTGTATAATGCGTCCTCCTAAAAAATCGAAACTAATGGAACTTGCAAGGTGATGTTAGGAAACATGTTTGCAATCTCCTGGTTGTGGAAACATTATGTGTTACTGCGCTGAGAATAGCCTTGGAATACCAACGAAGTCGGCTAGATCAAGCTATCATGCAATCATTGGTTCTGAAATCAAACCTGGCCAGTGCTATACTTGAGTCTAATCACAATAAATGATGCCAATTTCTCGATATTGCCCTTTACCGAACACATTCTAATACCCTAAGCGTCGGTCCTTTTCAGCACTATAACTCGCCACGCCATATGCAGGAACTAGGACAGGTACACCATCAAGCCAGGATTCCGTGCCGCTCCTCACATGCAGGAAATAGGACAGAGTTACACCATTAAGTCACGATTCCGTACCGTTAGTCATGTTCACATAAAAAATCGCCATGCCACATGCAGGAACTAGGACAGTTACACCATCAAGTCACGATCTCGTGCCGCTCCTCGGTCGCCTGGCCAGTGTCACAGCCGGCCACCCCGCACCTGGCAGGGACGACGGCTCGGTGACGTTGACACAGAAGGTGCCGGACACCATCACCGAGTGGGTAGGCGGAGCCGTGTGCAGCTCGGAGACGGCCGGCCTTGGCGTGGCGCCGTCGGCCTCACTCACCAGCTTCCAGCCGTTCTTCGTCAGCTACACGCTGCCCTACTCGGTGAAACGCGGCGAGACGTTAGTGCTCAAGGTCTCGGTGCTCAACTACAACGAAGAGGCGCTGCCGGTGGGTCCTCGCTGCTCTCCTGAGCGCTCTGTTCCGCTCGTGTTATCTTGCTCGCTCGTGTTATCTCTGTCGGTGCTCGGCGTCACCACACGTCACATGCTGGATAAAATTGAATCCAGCACTAGCTGTACTAGCTGTCCGCTCGGACCTTACTGGTCCCACGCGATATCCCGCCGGTCCTGTGGACGCTAAACATGCACCGGCGCCTGTGGCCGCAGGTCAAGCTGACACTGGTGGCGTCGGACGAGTTCGAGACGCTCTCGGCGCCGGTGGTGACCTCGTGCGTGTCGACCGGCGTGGCCGAGGTCGTGCCGTACCGGCTGCGGCCCGGCCAGCTCGGCGACGTTAACATCACCGTGGTGGCTGAAGTGTACTCCGACTTCCCCGCCGAGTGTGGGTCAGAGGTGGTGCCCTACTTCAGGTGTGTGGCGTTACGCGTTGCGGGAGTACGGAGCGTGGCGCACACCGTGTGAGTCAGCTTTAAACACGGCAGGTGTGCGTAACCGAGACACGAGCCCAGACACCCTGGTTTGCGTGGGATGTTAAGAGTTGCAAATGAACCGGTAGTGTTCCCAATTCAGTCAGGTGCATGTACGTTTGTGCCCTTGAATGGCATACAGGTATCCGCAGAAAAATCAAAATGTCGGCATTTTTTTCGTTTCGATTAAACCTGAAGGCGTAATTGCTCTCAACCGATTTCTCATTTTACGGTGAATGCATGCAGCCAACACGACTACCACCTGCGCAGGGATGCCGTGACCAGGCCGATTCTGGTGGAGCCGGAGGGCTTCGAGCATGAAGTCAGCCACTCCTTCTTCATGTGCATCAGCCGTGAGTGCGCTGCCAAAGCGGATGTTAACGGAACGACTCATGCCGGTGACGGTGTAGCTGCAGGCTAGTGACGGTCTGGAGGGCGCGACGTTGCTGGCAGTGTTGGGACGCACGTACGCTCAGCCGTGTGTTGGCGTAGTTTCCTTGATCGCGACGCGGCTTTCTTCGTCCCGCCGCATGGCTACGGACGTATCCTGTGCCGCAGTAGGGCTCGCCCTGTTTGGGTACCGCTTCCCTGACCCGACCCGTACGCCGGCAGCGGAGGGTGCCGACCTGTCGAGCGGACCGAACAGACGGGAGGTTGACTGGCCGCTGCTTCTGCCGGCCGACCTGGTGCCCGACTCCGAGCGGGCTCAGATCGCCGTCGTCGGAGACCTGCTGGGACCCAGCATTGACGTACGTCACTTGCGCACTATACTCGATGACAGATGCTCGCTGGATGTGCTCGACAAAATATATCATCGTGAGGCTGAAGTAGTTTTCGAGTAACCTGCTGTACAAGTCATGGCCTTCTCTGTTGGCACATCCTTATGCTCCCAGCTGTGTAACGTATGGCCACGGCCCACTTTTGCTCTAGTTATTTTCGTTTACGTCATTAATGTGATTCCCTCCGCTATCATGGATGCGTTAACTGTGCCGTTTAAAGCCAAAGCAGATATGTTCAAGCTTTCTGTACTTCTCAGAACCTGGAGTCGCTGGTACGGCAACCAACCGGTTGCGGCGAACAGAACATGGTGCTCTTCGTTCCCAACATTCACGTCATGAAGTATTTGACTGCAGTTGGTCAACTGACTGAGCGAATCAAGGATAAACTTGTCCGCTTTATGAGATCAGGTACTCGGTTGATCAGGCTGGGAATAACATTGCACTAGCACACAAATGTCCGGTACAAATTAGTAAAAGTTGACATATCATATTCAGCGTCGTGCCCTGAATTCGTTTTATCCCGTTCTATGTAACGTTTATTACTGAAGTCCTAACTAGTATGAGGTTCACATACCAAATTGTGAACCCAAATGATCACGCATGCGTCAGAACCAAGCTATCGTTTCTTGGTATTTTGCACCAAGCAACCGAACAAGTCTTCTGATTTAAACTGCTCATGGTAGTTCGCACCACCAGAGCAGATATATTATTTGGTGTAACCTATTTCCTTAAGATAGAGCCCCTTTTAGGAGCCTTTCATGGACAGCTGAGCTCAAAACTCGTGAGACCTCCAGCGCGCTTGTTACCGTGACCTTCGTGACCCGTGTCTCGCCCCAGGCTACCAGCGCGAGCTGGGCTACCGTCACGAGGACAAGTCCTACTCGGCATTTGGCGAGTCGGACGTCTCAGGCTCCATGTGGCTGACCGGCTTTGTCATCAAGTCGTTCGGTGACGCAAAGGAGTTCATTTTCATCGACGAGTCTGAACTGGAAGGAAGTGTGCGATGGATCGAATCCCATCAATTGGGTAGCGGCTGCTTCCCATCTGTGGGGACGGTTCTCAACAAGAAAATGAAGGCAAGATCTTGTGTTTGTCTGTATTGATTCCGCGCCCCGTGGCACGCTGTCATATGTTTGCCTTCAATCTGCTTTTAACCAAGTATCTACAACTAAGCGGGTTGAAAAGCACATGTACTTACCGCTGGATCTGGGGGAGGGTGGGACGCACTACATCGGCTGATTGACGGAGGGATCCAAGTGTGGTTTCTCGTGTTGCATACTCGCCACTCATACTTGTGCAGCCGTGTTTGCATGCTGTCACCCTTGGCCGGTTGTCCTCTGACCCGTCCGCCAACGGCGAAGTCCATTGCCGTTTGCCCCGATCCTCACGTGATAGCCGTTGTTCCCTTTGGGGACCAGCCGATGCTCTGCGGAGTCCAGCAAGGCTGACGTGTTTCAGGGCGGCGTTGGGTCCGGCGGCCAGCAGGCGCTGACGGCCTACATCACCCATCGCGCTGCTTGCAGTCGGGGATCGAGCTGGGCGAGAACACCGTCCACGGCGCCTTCCGCTGCCTGACACAGGTCAGCCAACGGCTCAGAGACACGTGTGATCGCTGGAGGCGATTTCTGGAAAAGAGTTTGGCGACGAGACTGACTCTAGATAGGTCGGCAGTTGATGTTTGAGTTAATGAGTTTGAAGGGCGCGGCAACTGCATTGGCTATTTTGCGTAGGTCGGCATTTTCTTCACTGTGCGATGCATGTTAGAGCCTTGCTGTTGATGCTTCATCTTATTTTGGTGGCTTTGGCCTACATGGTTCCGAAAGTTTTTTGAGGTATTGCAATAGGTATCGTGCTCAGTCACTCAGTTCGTACATATAAACGTAATATTGCACATGTGGTTCAACTTGCACCCTCATGATCTAGCCTCTGCCTTGGTACCCCCGCAACAAGCCCGTAGCTCCGCGGGACGAACCTAAAAGCAGCGAGAATGACTGTTGCATGAAATTTATCAGGAAATTTTGTTGTGGCCGAGGTAATAATCGCTTTTGCCTTCTGTAACAATATCACTCGCTCCTTCTACCTCACCATACAACAGAATACCAGACAAAAATGTTCAGAAGCGGACCTTATGTGCAGAAAGCGATAAAATGATCCATGGATGAAACAAACGTGCACGTTGCAGTCAGGGGCACAGCCAGAAATTCTTCAATACGGAGGGGTGTGGGTAGGGTCGGAGCTCGCTGAGTGCTTGCCATAAAATCAATGAAGGAGTCCTCTATGGTGCTTAGTAAAACATGCGTTGCTTACAGTGGGGAAGAAGGGCAGCCTGCCTCCGCCGCCCGTTCTCTGGCGGTGTCCGGTTGGGTTGTGCTCCCGATGGACGCATGCACTATACCATACCGCACTATGTAGGGAGGCGTCCGACTAAGCAGCACAAAATTGGGTTAAACAGCTCACAAAAGGCTGGTCTTTCTTGTCTACCGCCGTGCGCAGGAACGCACTCCACTAGCTTTTATTACGCTGTTGCCTTTGTATGCACATAGACGTGAGTGACTTAGCGCTGTAGGATAGCTACCCCTGAGGCCGTGTTGGACACCGCTCACCGTCCGTGGGTTAGCTACCGCCGGGACCGTGTTGGACACCGCTCACCGGCCGTGGGTTAGCTACCGCCGAGACCGTTGGACACCGCTCACCGTCCGGGGTTAGCTACCGCCGGACCGTGTTGGACACCGCTCACCGTCCGTGGGTTAGCTACCGCCGGGACCGTGTTGGACACCGCTCACCGTCCGTGGGTTAGCTACCGCCGGGACCGTGATGGACACCGCTCACTGTCCGTGGGTTAGCTACCGCCGGGACCGTGTTGGACACCGCTCACCGTCCGTGGGTTAGCCGGGGTCGTGCTGGCCGCCGCTCACCGTCCGTGGGTTAGCTACCGCCGGACCGTGTTGGACACCGCTCACCGGCCGTGGGTTAGCTACCGCCGGGACCGTGATGGACACCGCTCACCGTCCGTGGGTTAGCTACCTCTGGGACTGTATCGCGCCGCTCACCGTCTGTGGAATGCCATGTCAGCCACCGCTCACCGTCTGTGGAATGCCATGTCAGCTACCGCTCACCGTCCGTGGAATACCAGTCAGCCACCGCTCACCGTCCGTGGAATACCATGTCAGCCACCGCTCACTGTCCGTGGAATGCCATGTCAGCCACCGCTCACCGTCCGTGGAATGTCATGTCGGCCGCCGCTCACCGTCCGTGGAATGCCATGTTGGCCGCCGCTCATCAGCCGCCACGTGCCTTCCCCAGGACATCAGCTCTGACCTGTACACGCTGACCCTGCTGACGCACGCGCGCGCGTGGCCGCCGCCATGGACGAGGCGCGGTTGGTCTGACAGAGCTCAAGAGCCGCGCCCCAGGGAGGAGGGCCTGGTTTACGGGCGCAACGAAGGTTAGAGTCATCCCTCCGCACCAGCAAACAGTAACACTCACTGGAGGACGGTGCTGTGAACGTCCGAAGGCTAGTGATCAGCCTGTGATGATAGCTGTGGTGCTTAACAACTGTCATAGATGCTTGCAGAATGCGTTGGTGTGAAGGCTGACTGTGCACAGTTGTGTGTGCTCTGTACTCTTTCGTGTGTTTTGATGGAACTCTGCAGTGAGCGCATATGAAATGACACCATTTCCGCATTTCACTGAATCTAATGTTACTGAACGCACCTTCCTCAATCCTGGTCTATCCTGAAAGCGGTTAACCAGCGTACTTTCAAAACTTATCGTGGCGTACGTCACCAGGTCTGACGAGAATCGGGCACTCAGCGTTAGAGATGGGTGCCTATAACATCCTGACGATGAAGCTGCTGGAGAAAGCCGGTGACGACAGAAGCGAACACTCACCGACGCGTTGGGTGCCGTGCGCGGATCACCCAGCAGCGCAACAGTCGCGCGGCTTCGTGGTCCACGCAGGTCATAGGAAATCACTGGGGTGGACGTCAGTGTCTGCGGACTAGCTGGTCACGACCGCCACACGTTGCCTGCTGTCTGTCTTACATGTGTGGCTTGTTTGCCCCCTCCGAACGGTCTGTTTTACCTGTTGTCATGTCAGTCCGACGGAGGGGCCTGTCTCGTACATGTGTATCCTGCATACCCCCTCCCTCTTTAACCACTACCATCATACCCTGTGTATCCTGCTCACCCTAACGGAGGGACTGCCGTTAATTGTGTGGTTTGTTCACTCCCCACGGACGGGTCTGCCGTACCTGTGGTCCTGCTCAATACCTCGGAGGGGTCTGTCCATACCGGTGTGTACTGCTCACTCCGGGAGGGGACTGCCACATCATGTGTTCTGCTCCACCCGCGGAGGGTTCTGTTGTACCCATGAGTCCGGCCATCTTATCGAATGGGTTCTACAATGTCCTGTGCGCTGCTCACTTGGCGGCGGTCGTGACAGGATACGGTTGCGGCGCTGGAGGCATGGCCGCATTATCGGCCGACCTGCTTGCTCCAGCAGCACCGCCCTGCGAGTACGCGTCTCCGATGACGGCTCGCTGAACGACGTCATCAACGTGACGGCGGACCAATCTGTACTGATGGAAACTCGTGACGTCACGCTGCTGCCAGGTCAAGTCCACGTCAGAGCACAGGGCACCGGCTGCGCCCTGGTGCAGGTCAGTGGTGGAGCAACCGTGGTTAAGCCATGGAAGGTCGGGGTGGTACCGGCTCCGCCTTGTAAGGGTCAGTAGTAAAACGCCCCACACTGGTAAACTATGGCAAGGTGGAGATGGCACCGGCTGCGCCCCCGGATGAGAGAGAGAGAGAGAGTGGAGAGAGAGAGAGAGAGAGCGAGAGAGAGAGAGTGAGATGGAGAGAGAGAGACGATGGAGAGAGAGAGAGAGAGGAGAGAGAGAAGAGACGGATGAGAGAGTGGAGAGAGCTGAGAGGAGATGAGAGAGGAAGAGAGAGAGATGATTGAGAGAGAGAGAGAGAGAGAGAGAGGAGAGAGAGAGAGAGAGAGAGAGAGAGAGAGTAGAGGACGAGAGAGAGAGAGACGAGGATGAGAGCGTTAGAGAGAGAGAGAGGTGCGCGAGAGAGGAAGAGGAGAGACAGAGAGAGATTTGGTTGCGGGTGTATTTTAGAGTCAGAGAGCTGTGCAGAAGGGCCAGAGGAAGGAAGGATGATCTGTGCTGTTGGGTTGCGCTGGCATACTTGCAGTTGCTGGCATACCTGCAATGGAACCTTTATGATACTGAGGTGCTACTGAAGCAGGTCACACGCACGGGAAGCTCAGGTGGTGCCAGATGTACCCTAGTTCACATCAGAGCCGGCATTGAATGCACCGCCGGCCGTGCAGTCTAGGTGCCAGACCCGCAGGGGCACCAGCTTCGGTGGGTGTAGGGGACTAGCGCCCCCTCGGGTGCCAGCTCCGGTAAAGGGTGGACAGCGGAAGCTGTTCCTCTCAGGGCGTAGCGACCCTGCCGGTACGTGAGCTCCTGCTCCTTGTCCCACCCGCTCCCTCCACATTACCCGCACTCCCGCATCCGGCCCTATCACCACTCCTCATCCTCGTTTTATCGGGGTCGCCGTGCCCCCTCGCCCACGTCCCCGGGCTGATCGGATCCTGGTGGCTGAGGGGCGCGTCGTGCGGGTCAGTCCACGGCGCGCCCCAACACTCCACTTTGGCCAGGATATCCGTGGCCAAATATCCGTATACCAGGCCGATATCCGTATATCACGGGCGTGGGGGGGGGGGGGGGCCGTGGGGCCCCACGCGGGTCCAGCGGCTTGTCGCTCGCGTTGCGGTTGGGTGCCCCTTGGGGTCTTCGCTTGGGGCGCGTGGCGGCGCGCAGCGGCTTTAAGGGGTCAAGGGGCGGCGGCGCTGAACCACGGTCAGGACGGGGAGGGGTCTTCCCGGTTACACCTGGCTGTGTGGGAGGCGTCGTTCTCCCCGTATAGCACCGGGGTAGCCCTGGCGGTGACCACCTTCCTAGGGAGTGTTGAGCCGTCCCCCAGTTGGGTTCCGTGGGGGTGGGGAGCCCCGGTGCCGAAATGCAAACCCCTTTATGCATGGCATCCTCTACCTTTAAAAACTCCCGTCCTCCGAAAGGGGGGCGGACCTCGACAACTCCAGGGTGCAGAGGCGAACCTGTTATCCCCGGACCACGGATCCTCGTCTTCGGAAGTGACGAGATTAGGTTGGCGTCCCTGTCACCGTTTCAGAGAAGAAATGGCTGCGACAAATTTGGAAAAGTTAAAGATGTGACAAGCTCGAGATGGAAAAATAGAAGTTGAATTTGCTAGTGACTTGGAGGCGAGTCGGGCTATGGAAGCAACTGAATTTTCGTACAGTTTTCGGGATGGGGCTGGCAAACGGGAAAAAACAGTGTCAATATCGGCGACACCACATAACACGAAAAATTCGTCCCGGGGCGTGGTGAACTGTTTTGACCTGCGTGACGTTGACGAGCAAGAGATCGTGGAGGAGCTCTCAGAGTTTGGAGTAGCCACCGCTCGACGGATTCATGTCAGAAGGGGAGGAGAGTTAGTGCCCACGAACAACTTTATACTCACGTTCAGTCGCCCCGACATACCATCCGAGATACGTGTGGGACACGTCTGCGTAAAAGTTCGTCCGTTTTTGCCTAACCCCATGCGGTGCTATCAGTGCCAGCGATTTGGTCACACGAAACCCAACTGTCAGAACCGCGCTGCGTGTGGCAAATGTGCGTCCCTCGAGCACATGAGCGAAGAATGTACTTCTGACAAACCCCACTGCGTCAACTGCGGCAAGGACCAGGTTCCGCACATGTCCTACGACCGTGCATGTCCAGCCTACGCTAAGGAGAAGGAAATCATATCAATCAAAACTTCTCAAGACGTGTCGTTCCGTGAGGCTCGAGAACTTTATTACGGGACCCACCCAAAAACATCGTACGCATCGATAGTGAAAGCTTCGTTGTCGCGCACCAACGTGATCGAGGATATGACGGCTGTTCAATTTCTGGAACTTTTGAGATCGTTTGGCCCATCAGTTGTACCCTCAGCACGCGCCCCGGACTCACAGCCAGCACCCCAAGCTCCCTCCGCACCAATCGAGCAGTCGGTGGCCGCCGTGCTGCCGGCCTCCTCGGCACCAGTTGGATCGCCAACATATGACGGGTGGACGACGGTTCGGCGTGGCCGCAGCCCTCGCGCGCCTTCCGGTATTCCTTCGTCTGAGAAACCACCGGTCTCCTCATCACAGACACCCCTCACCAGTGCATGTGAACGTGTAGCAGGGACGATGGAGCGTCAAGAAGCTGACAGGCGCGCCCGCGAAGCCAAGCGAGCGCGTCTAGTTGAGCAAGAGAGGGCGAAGGCGATTAGCCGGCTGCCGGGGGCGGATCAGGGACGTGCTCCCGCAGGGGAAGCCGGTCCACCGCCCAGACGACGCGTAGAGGTCCCTGGTGAATCCGAGGTTCGGAAGCCACCGATGGGCCCTCCTCCTGCGCCGCCATCTAGGGTCACGGCTTCGCCGGCGCCGTCCCCGTCTAGAGTGGGGCGCCCGGAAAAGCGTGCCCCCCCCCCCCCTGGCCAATCTCGCCCACAGACGGCAGCCCACGTATTCGGCCCGAGACCCGGCCGGCGTCGGTGGGATCAGACCTTGGTGGGTCCCTGCACCCCGTTGCTGGACCGTCTGGGTCTGCTGTGGCCGGCGCAGCCGAGTATTTTTAAAAGTAGGTCTGTTTTACACTCACAACCCAAACATATGCACCCCGCCCTCCGGTAGGCGTAGATACCATCGAGTGATAGGAAGCTAACGACCGTCCTGACCTCTTAGCTTCATGACGAATGTTTTACAGTGGAACTGTAGGTGCTCCAAACAAGCTGCCAGGATATCCAACCATGCATTAACGAGCAGCGTCCGGCGGTGATATGTCTCCAGGAGACAAAACTGGCACCGGACAGCGTTTCTAGTCTTTCGGGTTATGCTGTTTGGCGGCGAGACTTACCACCTGACCCTGCTGCTCGTGGTGGCGTTCTCCTAGCCGTGCACCACAGCGTGTGTGCACAAAGGCTGGCTTTGAATACTGAGCTTCAAGCTATCGCAGTAAAGTGTTGTTAAACTGCCATACGATCACCATATGCTCAATCTACTTGCCTCCGGGGATCGGGTTTTCGTCTGCTCATCTGAGACACCTTGTGGCTCAGCTCCCGCCGTCTGTCCTCATTTTAGGTGATTTTAACGCTCACCACTCAGCGTGGGGTTGTGTCAAGACAAACACTCGCGGGAAACGCTGCGAGGCCCTCATACATGAAGAATCGCTGTGCCTCTTAAACACGGGGCGCGTACCCATTTTACACTCCCATCGGGACAGACATCGGCAATCGACTTAAGTCTTTTGAGCCCACAACTGATCAACCATTTTGACTGGTCGGTGTCAGACGATCCAATGGGAAGTGACCACTTCCCCATCTGGATCAAGTACCGGGCTGACGTTTTTCTTGGTTCTCGGCCACAGCGCTGGAATTTTAGAAAAGCCGACTGGACTGAGTTTCAAGCGAGGATCGAGCACTCCCTTACTATGCAGCCAGCGAGTGAACCCCCGTCGGTAGAGGATTTGACATCGCTGATTTTGCGGTCTGCAGAAGGGTGCTTACCGCGAACGTCGCGGTGCCCTCGTCGTCCCCCTGTCCTATGGTGGACGCAGCAGTGCCGGGACGCAATCTGTGCACGTAGGAGGGCCCTCAGAAAGTTTGGCCGTCGGAGCACTACTGAGAATCTTATTGCATTTCGACGAGCACGAGCGGCTGCTAGACGTACCATTCTAGAGGCTGAGCGGGCATCGTGGCGATCGTACGTCGGCCAACTAAACTGACAAACACCTGTATCCAATATATGGTCGCGAATCAAACGCATTGCGGGACAGCACTCGTCTGTACCACACCCTGTGCTCCGTATCAATGGACGTGACATTATACACCCAGCTGACGCAGCAAATGAAATCGCCCGCGCATTCTCCGAACGGTGTGGTAACGGCAATGCCGTCCCGCAGTTTATGCGTCACTGGATCCGCTGCGAGGCATCCACTGTCGACTTCAGCACGACGGAGCAGATGTCGTATAACCGACCTTCTACAATGGCCGAACTAATTTCCGCGATCGGATCGCTGCGCAATGTGGCAGAGGGTCCGGATCTAGTTCACAACGCCATGCTTAAGCAACTTGCTACTTCAGTAGTTGAGGCCCTCTTAGCGACGTACAACAATCTCTGGGAGAATGGAGGTTTTCCGGAGTCGTGGCGTGAGCCACATATTGTCCTTATGCTCAAGCCTGGTAAGAGTGGGGCTGACCATGCAGACTATCGCCCTATCTCACTGACATCATGCATTTGTAAGTTGATGGAACGTATGGCAAATGTGCGTTTCTCGTGGTTTTTGGAGCGGTACAGCGTTTTTACGGCTGCTCAAGGTGGATTCAGGAAAAATCGCAGTACCATTGACCATCTTATAGCTCTCGACACAAACATCCGCACCAGTTTTAGGGAAAAACGACATGTTTGCGCTGTGTTTTTTATGTTGAAAAAGCCTATGATACGACGTGGTGTTACGGCACCCTGAAAAAGCTCTTTCATTATGGCATTCCAGGAGCCATGGGCACGTTCTTAGTGAACTTTATGACCGATCGTTCTTTCAGAGTTCGTGTTGGCTCACACTTCTCGGATATGTACCAACAAGACAATGGCGTGCCCCAGGGCAGCGTTTTGAGCGTCGCTTTGTTCGCGGTCATGATGAACGATATTGGTGACTCCCTTCCAAAGTCGGTCAGCCGATCTCTCTTCGTGGATGACGTCGCCATCTGGTATGCCTCGTCAAACTTTGCCTCTTTGGAACGTCGCTTGCAGTTGGCTGTGATCAGCCTGGAACGATGGAGCGTTACAAACGGACTACGTTTCTCGACCTCGAAAACAGTCGCTATGCACTTTTGCAGACGACGTCGTCAGTGCCCCGCTATGGCTTTAAGGCTACACGGCCAGACCATCCCGAACGAATCCAGTACCCGCTTCTTGGGTCTGCAGTTTGATAACCGTTTATCGTATGGGTCACATTTGAAAACCCTACGTGACAACTGTTTTCAAACATTGAACATATTGAAGTATGTGTCTCGAACATCTTATGACGCGGAGAGAAGAACACTGTTACTGCTAGACCGCTCACTTATACGTTCGAACCATGACTATGGCTGTTTTATTTATGACCGCGCGCCGAGTTCCTGCAAACGTTTATTAGACACCGTGCACCATACCGCATTACGCATTGTGACGGGGGCATTCAGGACGTCGCCAGTTGCTAGCCTTACCGTGGAAGTTAATGAACCGGCGTTGGCACTGAGAAGGGAAATGCTTGGCATGAGGTACTTTTGCAAGCTTGCTCAATTTCCCAACCATCCGACTCACCGAACAATCTTTTCACGTGATGTGGAAAGTAAGTTCCAAAGTAGCGGAAGGCTGTCCGCTATTCCATTTGGTGTCCATATGAAGAAGCTGTTCCGGGAAAGCGACATAAGTTTGCATGGTGTGCTAAGGTCGCGTCCCGTATTAGTGCCTCCATGGGAGCTAATCTCACCACAAGTGGATGTATCCCTTTCATGCACAAGCAAACAGGGAGCGATCCCATGCAACCTGAGATCGAAGGCTCTGGAGCACATCGGGTCGTACGTAGGTTTTCAAGCCACATATGCTGATGGGTCCAAGACGGAGGTAGGCGTTGGTGCTGCATATGTGAATGACCAAGCCACCCGGTCCTTTTCTTTACCGAAACACGACTCAGTTTACACGTCCGAGCTCGTTGCAATCAGCAAAGCCCTATGCTTCATCGAAGTTGGTGAGAGCAACTCACACGTGATCGTATCCGATTCTTTGAGCAGCTTGTTGGCTCTGACAACCTATAACCCACCTTGTCCCATTATACAGGATATTTTACTTCGCCTGACAGCGCTGGATCTTGCTGGTTAAACTGTCGTCTGATGTTGGATACCGAGTCATGTGGGTATCGCAGGTAACGAGCGTGCTGACGCGGCCGCAAAACGGGCAGCGCGTGCACCTTGCACCAGTTCTTTACCCTTGCCGGCAAGGGACGCTTACCCTGCAATCGCGACCTTTGTGAAGGGGAAATGGCAACGCTGCTGGGACGCCGTTGTTAACAATAAGTTAAAAATGATCAAGCCACAACTGGGTCTATGGTCTTCAAGCTCACGTAAGCTGAGACGCGAAGAAGTAACCCTCAGCAGATTACGAATTGGCCACACGCACGCAACACATAGCTACCTTTTGTGCGGTGAAGAACGCCCTACACGTCCTCGCTGTGATGCGCCACTTACGGTTCGCCACGTTATTCCCTCTTGCCCACAGTTCAGAGAAGAGCGGGCACTTTATTTCGGAGGAGATGTGTCAGGTCTTACCTTTTCAGACCTTATTGGTGACGATTCTCGCATGCTTGGCACCGGACAGCTGTTTTCATTTTTGAGAAGCGTAGGATTCACAGCCACTTATACACCACGGTAAACACTTAGCTGTTATGAGCGCAAAATGACCCTAGAAGTCGACGCGCCCTAAAACCCCAATCATCATAATCATCATCTAGGTGCCAGACTGCTGAAAATATATCTCACTAAACTGTGTGAGAGCTGAACACCGTGTTCTTAGTATAGAGCGTAATCGCGTCAGCTGTTCGACGGCTGATGTGATTCACTGAGAGCCTGAGTAAAGGACATTCAGTTCAATGATAACACGCACGGAATGCGAACCCCGAGACATACCCTCTTCTGCCGCACCATACAAATTAGCTCCAGCAATGCATGACGACGTACGTGCGCCACGCGCATGACAAGTAACATGGTTGTTTCGCCAGGCCTCGTTGAAATACAACGTGCATACAGCCGGTCCAAACGACGCACTGACGATCAAGGTGACCACCAAGCCCAAAATGAACCAGCGCGAATGTCTGAAGCATACCATAGGTGAGTCGAGTGACGTGCCTGCCTGGTGACTCCTCTAGCTCTCTTGTCTCACCTGGTCCTCAGACCACTTGTCAGCCTCTGCTCGGTTTGATCTTAAATCTGTAGTGCAATGCAAGGGAATGTCATGGGAAGAGGCTCTTGACCAGCTTGCAGTGTTCCTGTTCTGTGAAAGCATCAGAAGACACTGCAGTCCCTAGTGCAATTAAAAAAGTGTTCGAAAGCATCTCTCGTTCAACGGGTTTTACATATGACGGAATGCCTGCCTGGTTGTTATGAAAACATGGCAATGTTGTGCTCTTTAAGACATCTGCGTCAGCTACCTGAAGGAGGATAGCGAAACCAATATGGCTGTGGTTGAGCTGGACATGGTCAGCGGGTTCATTCCCAACAAGGGAAGTCTGAATGACCTCAAGCAGAACGTCGAGTTGGGTAAGTTGGAGTTAATGGCACATAATAGACACATGCCTTCCTGTTGTCATAGTTATCTGTTTTCACTGACAGGTCGTCAGATCTGGGTTTTCTGTTTTCACCAGCAGTTCGTCGAATAAGAGTGGTCTGTTTTAACAAGTAGGTCGTCTGATCTGAGTTGTCTGTTTCCACTAGCAGGTCGTTTGATCTGAGTTGCCTGCTTCCACTAGCAGTTCGTCAGATCTGAATTGTCTGTTTTTAATAAGCAGGTCGTTAGATCTGAGTTGTCTGTTTTTTAACGAACAAGTCGTCAGATCTGAGTTGTCTACTTCCACCAGCAGATCGTCTTATCTGAGTTGTCTGTTTCCATTAGCAGGTCGTCAGATCTGAGTTGTCGGTTTTTAACAAGCAGGTCGTCAGATCTGAGTTGGCTCTGCCAACACTAGGAACACATTCTTTATCTAGCAATTAGACATGGCATGAAGTTTAAATCTGAGTTGCCACGCTCTTTAGATAAGCTGTAGGAGTTAGCTACCATTTCAGAGGCCTATCATGTTTTCTGACGACCGGAAACATGCTCCATTCAGATTTGAAGCGCTGGGAGGTCAACAACAACAAGGTGGTCTTCTACTTCGACTCGCTGGGAGGAAAGGAGCGCTGTTTCAGCATCATCGTACAGCGAGAGCAGGAGGTGGAAGATGCCAAACGGGCGGTGGCCAGCGTATATGATTATTACCAGACAGAGTTCGCCCGGAGCACGGTGAGAAACAAATCCTTACGCAAACGGCATCAATCTGCATCAGGCCGCTACCTATGCAAAACACGATATAACTACGCGGTTTGTTATCATGCCGGTAAATTAAACCTTTCATGCAGCCAAATGTCACCTGATTATATTTTCTCTTGACGCGTATGGTTCGATTAAATACACAGCGAGACGCATTTACGAGCATAGTAGCATGGCTCTGCTTTTTCCGTGGTCGGCTGTTGAAGTTGGCTGATCGAAAGTGTGCTTGGCCGTCCGATACTGTATGACGCAGCTGAACTGCTTTTGGGCCCTTTCAGTCGTACGCCCTGGACGTCAACTGCGACACAGTGCTGCTGTAGCCAATAGCCGATTCCAACGCCTGTGTCCGAGAACGACCAGCAAGGAGGTAACGCTGCCTGGGCCGCCGTGCCCTGTCCAGCTCAGTAGGACGCGCGGTCCGCCAACGACACGGGCTGAGGACGCTTGTGATTATTGGGAAGGACATAGACAACAGCCTTCCGGAATTTTTCTGATGGGTTAATTCACTGATATCACATTGATGGCATCCAGAGTTTGTAGTGATACGTAGCTGCATCTCGCACGTCCTTGTCAGTGTGATCACGGTTTGGTGTTAAGAACGGTTGTGGACGCTCTTGGCTACCACCCGAGCACCACGCGTCTTTGAATGGACACGAGTTTTGACTTATTACAACGCCGGCCGGTCGCCATAACTGTCTGTCTGTAAATAAATAAATAAATGTAAATAACTTTCTGTCTGTAACTTTCTGTCTGGTTTGTTCTTTGATAATCATACCGTGAAGAATATAGATGAGGGCGAGCCGAGTAAAGTTACTGCAATCACGCTGCTGGATATCGCATTATCAGCCGTTGAACTGCTACGCTTTGCTCGCGCTTTAAGCTCTCACTTCACTCGGCATCTCTGCCGTGTGCTGAACCTTGCTTTTCAAGCAACTTTGTGCACAACCCGGTCGATCAATATATAGTCGGAGACGTTTACTCGCTGTAAAATTGAAAATAAATGCAACAATGTCCGTCAGTAGCATTTTATTGACGACTATGCTGCGGCAGAGTGCAGCGCCGCCGCCTGCCTGGAGGCATTTACACGTTGAATGCGCCGATGTTTCGTGCGAGGCTGAGTAAATGATAGGTCCGCGCCAGGCTGGCCTCTCTGGCAATGCTCTCACTGGGTTATCTTGAAGCAGGCACGCGCCCGGCGTTGATCTGTGTGCGTGACAAGTTACATTGCTCAGCCCGTCGCATTCGTTGCATGGGGTCTATTGAAGCATGGTGGCTGTAAATAGGGCCATTTCCTATCAGCCTGCGCCGATAGTCCCGCATGTTTCTCTGTCGGTTTGTGTGGACTCGCGTGCTAGAAAATGAGTACCACTGTAATACCGGGCAAGCTAGCTGTTCTGTTTTTGTGAATCTGGCGGACAAGTGTCGTCCACGTAGACCGGGGATGCCCAAATACGGTAAAGATGAACACCGCACGCCGCTTGCGTGCACATTGGGATCTGGAATGCGGCTGGAGGCGTGTTCGCCGAGCAGGCAGGTTTATTACTGGAGCTGATCATGCCCTAGCAGTCCATGTTGCCGGCGTGCAGCCATTATCTGAGCGGTGAGTTGGTCGGCACCGCTCCCGCTGCCGCCCGCCGCCCGCTGTTGCTCGCCTGAAAGCTCTCACTGTCTGTTGCACGAGCTGTCTACAGAGGCTAAGGGGCTGTCTCCCTAAGGCCACACGATGTGATTCCAACTTATCACTGCGCGTCCCAGGGTGCCACGAATTCGTCCGGCCTGCCGTGTCTCATTCCCATCCTATGTTGTTGTATGCTATACTCCTTTACACAGCCTGTTCGAAAGCACCTTCGGTTAGAGCTCTCTGGGATGAACCGCTGGTGAGTGAGTTACCCATATGTCTGTCGGGGAAAGCCGGAAACGCATGTCAGCAATAACTCTGTAGCTCTGGTGCAAACCCACGCCACTTCCCAGCTGAAAATATTTTCTTGCATGTGCTAGGTCAAAAAATTCGACCCAAGAAAATATTTGTGTCTAAACCAGCTCGCAAAGAACAGCGTTTTCACGCCGCCATAGCGTTGGCGCCATATGACTTAGTCCCACGATGGCGTCACGACATCATTACCCAGAATGCAGTAGAGCGGGGTTTGGGTCAAGCGAGGAGCGCTAAGAAACGGGGCATATAGTGTTGCCTGTCACATTAACCATCATCGTTAGTTTCAGACCATGTGACGCTGAATCTGATCAATAATGCGATGGTATGCCCATGAAGTCACACAGTCATCCAGGAAAGGATCTTCTGTGCAATCGCGAAAGGCGGCAGCATTTGCCCTGTTGTTTTCCTCACTTGCTGATCTGAGCCCCGTGCAGTGCAACACAAGCGTGATTACCTGCACCCCAGGGCCCGTGCTAAACCTGTTGGTTGCGGCTGAGTGGCCGGGACTAGCAGTGGTTGTGCTGGTTGGGTGTGAAACATCGGTACCGGCAACAAGGTGGTGCCGACCCGGGCTGACAGAAAGTGAAACGGGTCCAGAGTGGAGCGGATCACGGAGAATGAGAAACACTCCGTTGTCAGGTCGCACAGTATGTTTTTTTTCACGATGCTTGATTTTGAATGCTATTTGTGTGAGGCGTTTCGGCCTGTTTGGGCCATTTCACGCCGGAAAGATATTTTGAATCGGTGTTTTTATGTAGTTGAAAAAAACACGCACGTTTACTGACTTTTACACTGCTTGAAGCAAACCAGTAAGTCTGAGAGAGTTGAAGGGAGCGCTAAGCAAGTAAGGATGGTCATCGCCAAGAACATTCTGTTCAAAAGAATTCGGCATTGTGCCTACAATAGGTTTACATATCTTTGCTTTATTGGTGCTATTTGGTGCACGCAGAAGTAATCTGTTTGACCCAAAGTGGATGATCGCACAGCTGACAGTGGGCGCGGGGGTAACGTAAGTGTATGTGTGGAGTGGAGTGTGTCCAATTCGTTGATTCAATTCGTACAGCCGACACCTCCTCTAAACACTCTGTACGGTGTGCTCATGGCCAAGTGATAACGCGGTGTTTAATCTTATATAGTTGCCTTATGGTTATATCGGTCCACCGCCGTTGCCAAAAATTTTTGTCAGAATGCGATTAAAAGATTTCGCAGATGCATGAGAAGCCGGGCTGTCAAAGCTTTCCTTGGCTGGTCGGTCAGCTTGCTCTTTACCCGTAATGCCCCTATGTCCCGATCCCACAGAAATTTAATGTGCATGCCCTGTGTGTTTAACATATGATGGAGACTGAAGATTTTAACGAGGAGGTAGTGAGTGAAGTCTGAATCGATAAGAGGTTGCACAGCTTTCTTCAAATCCGCAAAGAAAACACCATTGTCTTCGTTGTACAGGTGTGTTATTGAGTGTGCTGTAATGCGAGAAGACGAGCAAGTAATTCGGCCAAATATACTGACGTGCCATCCGGTAACCGACAATTTTTATGGTAATGTTCAGTGCAAATTACCGCACATCCGGTGTGGTCATTGGCTATGGAGCCATCGGTGTAAACAAAGCTGCTTTTTCGATTATTGGCCACAGGAAATCGTATAAAGATGTTTAGGATCGTCAAAAAGAAACAAAACTTTTCGTGGGATGAACTGTCATGGTGGTGCTATTACAGCAGGTGGCACGGAAGAGTGGGGTAATACAAAATGAAGAGTGGTGCAGTAGACAGTAGTCCGAGACCTTATCGTCAGTTCTGACCAGTGTTCTGCAGGCCCTCTCCAGTCGTGGTGAATGCAAGCTAAGATATGCATAGATTTAAAGCTGGGTGATTAGAATTTTGTCGCCATTTTGCTACGTGTCGTGATGTGTTTTCCATTCGTCGAAGAGCAAGAGGCGTAGCGTACGCGTCCATTTCAAGCGCTGAAAATGGAGTAGTGCGCAGAACTCCTCGAGTCATTCGCAAGAACACACTTTACATACTGTGTATAGGTTGAATAGTGTGCTGGCTTCCTCCTGCATATACCACCGAGCGATATTCAGTTATCGGAAAAACTATGGATTTATATAGAAGTAATAACTTCTCGAGGTCGGTACCCTACCGTGCCCCGGGAATGCTTCTAAACAAATGTAGTCATCTTAGGTAATTGGAGCGGACATGTTTCATGTCCTGTCGCATTGATCATCTTGGGTCGAGTTAGACACCAAGCAATTCAACATACGAAGCGAAAGGAACGTTGTGTCTATCTGCTTGCAGCCGGAAATTATGAGTACTACGCATATTTTTGCTCAAAATCATAAGTGCAGATTTGGGAGTGGCGAAATGGTGCCCGTGCCGCTCTGACCACCGCTGCACGTTGTTCCGGTCGGATGGGAGCCGTGGCAGCGAATGGTCATACTCAATGTCCGGACATCAAATCGCGCTTTCGTCCGCAAAAAGTGGGAGGAACTACCCGATGGTAATAAGCCAAATAATTCGTTTAACATAAGATTGAAGAGCTTCGGTGAGATCCAGCTCCCCTATGGGATGCCGTTATCTAGATGGTGAGCACCAGAAACGGCGGAGCTGCACTGCACACGAAATGGTCTGATGACGAACAGAAAAAACCATGAGGTAATGTGCTGAATTGCCTTTACTCCCTAACTGATAGAGCTTAAAAACAAGTGTACATTTAAACCATGTCGTAGGCTCGGCTTATGTCAGGAAGACAGCAGTCGTGTAATGACGATGTTTAAAGGAACGCCTGTTGCCAGTTTCAGTCGGCTGATCTGGTCTATTGTGCTGCGATTATGTCTAAAACCACAGTCATTTTTCTAAGCAGGCAGTCTTGCTCTATAACGCAAGAGATCCATTTCACTACCATTTGCCCAACAATTTTTCTAGGGAGCTTGTGAGTGCATTGGGACAATTATTTGATGGGTCTTTGATGTCTTTCCCTGGTTTTGGAAACATAATAATGATGGTGTCTCTCCATGTCTCAGGATAGGCGCGGAAGGGCCGCAAATCATTAAAACCCGTCAAAATAAGATTAAAGATGCTTTCAAGGAGATTGCAGAAAGGAATAGTGTCATTGATCATTGCCTGCCGAGGTGTCCCGGGCGTACCTTCTTGCATTTTGGAGTGCCAGGAAAGAAAATGGTATATTACAGTTTTCTGTACCATCGGAAGCAAATCGATGAGGGTGTAAAGGAAAACAAAATGATGTACTACCGTCTGCCGTATTTTCGGAAGCAAATCAATTAGGGTGTAAATAAAAAGGAACTTGCGTAAGATCCACGAAGCCTGCTTGGTATTTCTGGGGGAGCTACACTAAGCAAGGCTTTCGGCAAGAGCATTGGGTATAAGAGGTGCTGCCGTAATGATCCGGTTATTAACACGCACTCGGGTGCGGGTCAACTTGAACCCCCTGAGGGTTTTCCGGAATGGTTTCCGAGTGGCGCGTTGTAGCCGCGCCAAAATTTGCATCTTTGTAGACAATTGAATAGCAGATTCTTCGGTATTACCAATTTGGATGTACCTTGTAAGGTCGCTGACCTATGGCAGGTCAAAGACAGGCCATGGTTTCAGCGAAGTAAGTTTCTAGGGACTCGCTTAATCGGGTGGAACAACGGAGTGTTAGACAAAGCCATACATCTCTGAGATGCCTTCTTAGGCAACATAAATAATGGATGAGCAAATTATATTGACCTAAGGTGAGGTGTGAAGGTCAGACCAAGATCAAAGCCAAACTGTTTTATTACTCGAGGGCTCGTTGTATCGAATAGTTTCTGGTGCTCATTTCAAATCTATTGACAGCAGGAAGCACATTATACATCTTCCATGGACCTCCTAGAGGCCAGGATAGGTCATTGACCCGAAATGATCCAAGTCAAGATTTTGTTTTCAGGAACATACTGCCTAGCGTAATCTTTGTCGTTTATTCAAATGCAAAACTCATAGCAGTCTTATGTGATTTCGGTCACTATGACCCTCAAA